TCCGGATGGTTGTGAGCTGCATGTGGGTGCTGCATGAGTAACAGAGCTCCTAACCGCCGGGCTCGCTCTCTAGCCCATACTTCACAGGGTTTTAAATGTTTTCTTTTTGCTCCACCACATTTGCAGTTCAGCCGGGTAGTAGTGTTACACTAGCCCGAGTCTACGTGTCCACTAATACTGATGTTGGTAGATGAATCTCCTTTCCCATTTTGATTTAGGTAATTTTCATGGCATGGCATCTATAGTCTGGTAGCAAATTCATTGCAAAAACCTCAAGATCTCTCCATGTTCCCCTGCTACAGGACCTGAACTGCTGAGTTCAAATGGCCCTTCTGCCTCAGCCTGCTAAGTAGCTCTCTGAGACTAACTGAGATTACAAGTTCATGCCACAAGAAGACAGTCTCTGCTTAGTCCAAGCTAGCATAAACTGGATGTGTAGCCCAGACTGGCTTTACATTCACAACTCTCCTGCCTCAGCCTCCTGAGTACTGGGATTACAGGCACACACCATCATACCCACCTCTAGTATGGTTTTAATTTTAATGGAATGATTTTCCCCTGAATGTTGCAGCTCTCACTTCCTTAACTTCCAAATGTCCATAATGAAAAACCCTGCTGGCAAAGGGAAAAACCTCCTATTACAAACTTCCTCAGACCATAGTACCCGTGTGGGTCTCCCCTCTTCCTAGTTCTTTCATGGTGGTTGTTAGGGTTCTTAGGTCAGGGAGCATGCTCTGTAGATTCAGGAGGGGTCTGGGTTGGGGGTGACTAAGACCTATGCTTTTTGTTGCCATTTTATTTTTCTCCCTCCCCCCAATTTTGTCAGCAGTGTAGTTAAACTCTGTCCAGATTGTTTTTACCTGTGTCCCGTTTTTCTGCTTTGCTTCTGTGCCTGTTCAGTGGGCATTACACCCTTCCTCAGGGTTCTTGTGCCTCATATTCGGGGCACAGCAACCGCCATCGCTTCTAGAAGCCTGGTCGTGTGACCCAGCTGCACAGGGTACTTCTCAACCTGAGTTTCCAGCTCCTCATTTTTTATAATAGCATTAGGAGCTGAGGTCAAAATTCTGAATACTTATGATTTCATGTATTATGACTACTTCTGAATTTAGCTAAAACCTTTTTTGGTAAAATCTGCATGACATAGGCTTTACTGTGGTAACCGTTTTGAGTATGCATTCCTGTGGCATTATGTACATTTATGTTTTTTAACCTTGTCATCTTCTGCAGAACCTTGTCATCTTTCAGTGCCCAAACTGTCCCCATCAAACACTAACTCCTCACCCCCTTCTTTCCAGCCCTCCCACAGTCTGTCCCTATGGGTCTGATCTTAGGTACCTTGCATAAGCACAAGGATCCGGGTCTGCCTTATTTGATTTAGTGTCTTTACAAGATTTATCCATGTGGTCATAGCTAAATGTCTTTCCTTCCAAAGGACTGAATATGATCCAGTCAGTATGTCTGTAACATAATTTTCTAATTCATCCGTTAATAGATTCCTTGGTTGTTGTCACTTTGTGGTTTTGGGGAATATGACACTGTAAACATTGGTATATAAATGTCTGTTTGGGTCTCTGTTTTTAAGTCTTTTGTGGCTGTATCTCTTAGTGGAATTATTTGTATCAAATGCTCTTTCCGTGTTTTGTTTTAACTTTAGTTTGAATGTAGTTACGTTCCATGTATTTTGTGTATATAAGAGAGGTATGCAGCAAAATAAATCTGCAGGAGCTGTCCCATGGGTCGCATTCTGGGGTGAAAACCCTGCAGTTTCTCCCTAGAAACTGCTGTCTGTGCTCATGACTGCTTAAAACATGGCAGAGATTTGAAAGTTCCATGTCGCACATCGAGCTGCCTATGAATTTCCACGATACTCTTGCCTTTACCTGAACTGCACTTGATTGTTATTTAGCATGCAAGTTGTGGGGTGCCAGGAGGTGTGCAACTCTAAAAGGTTTTATGTGTGCGGCTGGTTTGCCTGCATGTTTGTTTGTCTGCTACTTGTGTGCTTGGTGCCCACAGAGGCCAGAAGAAGGCATCAGATTCCCTGGGACTTGAGTTACAGACAACTGTGAGCCACCATGTGGGTGCTAAGAACTGAATTCAGATCCTCAGGACAATCGGCCAGAGTTTATAACCAGTGAGCCTTTTCTCTAGCCACCCCCCCCCCTTTCTTTTTAAATAATTTTAAACACATTGTGTGTGTGTCTCCTTCCACCATGTATGTCCCAGGATTGATTGTCAGATTTCGTGACAAGGGCCTTTACCTGCTGAATCATCTCCCTGCACCGCTCCACTCCTCCTTAAAGACAAGGTCTCTCTCTATAGCCCTGATTGGCCTGGAGCTCACTATGTAGACCAGGCTAGTCTTGAAATTTCATTGAGTTCCTACTGCCTCTGTCTCCTGGGTGCTGGAGTTACAGGTGTTATATCATCATACCTGGCTTATAATTTTAATATAAAGTTATAAAGACACATAGAGATTTGGGTGTGTACTATTTATAGAAGATACAATGTGAGTAATCATCATATATAGTGGGAACTCTTTCCTGGGCAGATGTTAGCAAATGCATAGCTCTTTATTAGAGGATACCAACAACAAACCAAAGTACAATTCCACTGAGGTTAGCCAGGCGTACTTGTAGAGCATGGCCAGGGAATTACTTATAGGAGCAAAGCAGCCACACCACCCTGTATAGAATGACGTCACCCTACATAGAATGACGGCTTTTGCATAGCTGCTTACATGGAGTCTCCTGTCAGTTAACCTTCCACAGTGTACATTCTAGTATTCAACTTCCTGAGGCCACAAGGCCATGTGCAGTTTGGGGCAGAGTCATAATTAGTGGGCAGGGGGAGGAAGCAGAGGGAGTATTTAAAATGTGAGGTTGGGGGCCTGGTGACCCCCCATTCCTCCTCCTGTGAGGGCCTGGTGACTTCCATTCCTCCTCCTGTGAGGGCCTGGTGACCCCCATTCCTCCTCCTGTGAGGGCCTGGTGACCTCCATTCCTCCTCCTGTGAGGGCCTGGTGACCCCCATTCCTCCTGTGAGGGCCTGGTGACCTCTATTCCTCCTGTGAGGGCCTGGTGACCTCCATTCCTCCTCCTGTGAGGGCCTGGTGACCTCCATTCCTCCTCCTGTGAGGGCCTGGTGACCCCCATTCCTCCTCCTGTGGGGGCCTGGTGACCCCCATTCCTCCTCCTCCTGTGAGGGCCTGGTGACCCCCATTCCTCCTCCTCCTGTGAGGGCCTGGTGACCCCCATTCCTCCTCCTCCTGTGGGGGCCTGGTGACCCCCATTCCTCCTCCTGTGAGGGCCTGGTGACCCCCATTCCTCCTCCTGTGAGGGCCTGGTGACCTCCATTCCTCCTGTGAGGGCCTGGTGACCCCCATTCCTCCTCCTCCTGTGAGGGCCTGGTGACCTCCATTCCTCCTCCTGTGAGGGCCTGGTGACCCCCATTCCTCCTCCTGTGAGGGCCTGGTGACCCCCATTCCTCCTGTGAGGGCCTGGTGACCCCCATTCCTCCTCCTGTGGGGGCCTGGTGACCCCCATTCCTCCTCCTCCTGTGAGGGCCTGGTGACCCCCATTCCTCCTCCTCCTGTGGGGGCCTGGTGACCCCCATTCCTCCTCCTGTGGGGGCCTGGTGACCTCCATTCCTCCTCCTCCTGTGAGGGCCTGGTGACCCCCATTCCTCCTCCTCCTCCTGTGAGGGCCTGGTGACCTCCATTCCTCCTCCTGTGAGGGCCTGGTGACCTCCATTCCTCCTCCTGTGAGGGAAGCCAACAGTTAGCAGGCCATCTTGAGAATCTCTTGCAAGTTCTCACAGCTGCTTCGAGGAAGATGATGGCTCTTCTGCTCTGAGGATAGTACTAGATCACATCACTCAAAGTAGTATTTTAGCTGAGTGAGAGACAGATGGTCTATGAGGAGAGACTGAGAAAGCTACAGAGTCCAGGCAAAGAAGGAGATGGGTCACTGGTCCCTAAAGAGCATGTCCTGAGTGCGAGGAGCCAGCCTTGTTTCTGCTTTTACCTCTTTGGCTCCTTCTGTTTGTACAGCACCTCCCCCCCTTAACTTTGCCATAAGGAATGGGAACCAGTAGAAGATTTTAAATAGCCAAGTGACATCAGAAATGTCTTTGTCAATTTTGAGGCCACATAGAAGATGAATTATAGGGTGGATTCTAGAGGGATGGATTTTGGAGGTGGTTGTAGTCCAAGCAGGAGATGGAGTTTTCCTGCTGTGACTCCATTTATATCAAATACTGAGATAACTGATTATCGGAGATTGGTGGTTGCCAGGAGCTAGTGGGGCAGAGAACGGGAAGAAATTATTCATGTGTATGGGCTTTCTCTTTGAGGTTCTTGAGTTAATAGTGATGGTTGTACAGTCCTTGAATGAGCTAAAAAGCACCCAATTACATTCTTTAATAAGACTGTACAACCATCACTATACCACCCTGAACACACCTGCTCTTCTTTAAAAATGGTGAATTATCTCTGATGCTTAAATTATATCTCAATTTTAGAGAGAGAGGGAGACCCTGAAACAAAGCAGTGTTCAAGACACTCAGGGATAGAGAGTTTAGATAAACAAGCAGTGTTCAAGAAAGACACTCAGGGATGGAGAGGTTAGATACTAGCAATATTGAAAACGAAGCAGCAGCCGCTTTTCAAGTTCTTAGTCTGTACAACTGAACTGATTGATAAGGACGGAAATACAATTAGAACAAGTTTTGAGGAAATAAGTAGTGAGCTGTGTATTAAATGTCTAACCAAGACTACTAGCAGCTAAAGACAATGACCCTGATTTGAAGAGAGATATTTGAGATTGGAGAAAGAGGGGAATGGATGAAAGTTGATTGAAGTCAGGTAAACTTGTTGATAGATGATATCTTCTTTTTCCAGTTTCCTTGGAAGATGTGTCCTATTGTGCCTTGTCGCCAAGTCTGTTATATAAGTACTTTTGTCCTCGTATAAAGCTGAGGTTTATGTTACTTTTCAGGCAGAAGCAAGGCTAGCAGCAAAGCGGGCCGCCCGGGCAGAAGCAAGAGACATCCGCATGAGGGAACTGGAACGCCAGCAAAGAGAGGTAAGGAGAAGTGTGATCTTCGCCTGTGCAAGTGTGTGCGCGTGTGCATGCATGCCTACGGTTATTGGGGTGAGGGATAAAAAACACGTTGGATGAAGGAGAGCTCTCACTGTCTCCATTCTCCATTTCCAGGCCTCAGGGGTACAGAGGACTTTTGTGAGATACAAGGCATTTCAGTGAGACAGTGATAGGCAGATCCCCAGGTTGGACACTTCTCCTCAGGGTGCTGTCTCCTCCACTTGAATGTAGATCTAGGTCTTGGCTCTTGTAGGTCAGCAACTGCATTTCATTTCAGATGAACCAGTTATGAATGCACACAAAGAGGAGGGGACATGGCAGTCAATGGATTGTCAAAAGCACAGGGTGCCAAAACAGAGGCCCACTTTATTCTTTACTTCACAATCCCAATTCTCTGCCTTAAAATAACCAACTTAGGAAGTCTGTTCCGGACATTTCTCTGTACTTTCTTACTGAGAGTATAAATATGATTTCTGCCCTCACTGTTACCATCCTTACTGCCAACCCTTCTATTTCCATAGACTGTGGGGAGACACCTCTATTATGAGTCTTTGTGCTAAATGAGAACCAGGGCTGGAAGTTTTTGGAATGGAAGGTTTTGACACGACATATGTGCAGGTCCAAGTGGGAACATCACAGTGAACCCTGATCTCCCTAGCTAGCTAGCTGAATCCTCACGCTTACCATTTTGAAACATATTTAATAATGTAGGAAAGTGTTCATGTAAGAATATGGGTGAGAACCCCAAATATAAAATTGGTAGAACGGCCCAAAACAAACCAAAACATCCAGTGCCAAAATATAGGGTCACAAAGACCCAGTTTAGTAAGTGCTTTGGTTTGACAGTGTGGAATTACAATTGGTATTATGTTTTTCTATAGTCTACAGATTTATATTATGCTTTTGTCATCAGAAAATTAGAAAAAAAGTAAAATAGGTAAATGAGAATTGAGCTAAGATGACATACATTTTAACTATTCTTGCTGACATTGACTTAGGCCTGAAAATTCTCACAAATATTTTGATACTGTATTTATAAAGGGGAAACATCTGTGGAGAAGTAGTAAGCAATTTATTTTCATGTTATCGGAAGACTTTCTGTTAACAAGATAAAAGAAGATATTTATATGTTTTTGCTCTATGCTGATGTAATTTTCTCTCCTTGGTTACAGTTTCAGATATCGGATACACTTCTTGGTTTGAAATGTATGTTCCAATGCATTGTCTTTATAATCCTAAGATTGTACTAAATTACAAATAGAAGAGATAGTTATTAATAGAAGTTCTGACTATGCAGAGAATCATGCGTCTTTGTTACAGATTATATTTAGCTTAGTAATTTCTTGTATTTTCAAAGTGTAGCTTTGACTCACCTACTATTGTCTTGGGCAACTGTATGTGATTGAGATTTTATTTATTTATTTATTTATTTGAGAATTCGGTGTATTGAAAACCATTTGGTTTATAAAACTTTTGTATTTATAGCCTTCTCATCATTGCTCTGACCGGAAGTGGGGACAGATTCAGAAGTGGCTGGTAGGCCAGGATTGCCTGTCCTGCATGCTGTGATAAACTGTTGAACTAATGAAACATTGAAGCAAGACATTGACTAATGGTTTGCAAAGTAGGCTCTTGGTCTGTATGGCCTAAAGTCCCAGAGTAGCTGTTCTGATGGGCACTCAGAGTCTAACCATTTTCTTCTTTGTGGTTAATAAGACTCACTTTCAACTCATGAAAGTCCAAGATCAAGAAAGAATGAATAAATGAATGTATGTTTTAGTAGTTTAGGCCAGATTAGAAAATACTAAATACAAGCAAAATCATATATTGAAAGTCTAATATTTCAAGTTTTCTGTTCAGGGGCTGTGAGGATAACCATTTAAAAGAATCATTGATACGTGTGTAGCTTAAGCAGTGAGAGTATTAGGAGACTTAGGAGGTTTTTTGATTTGAGATTTAAAATGTAGTTGGTTAACCTGAGTCTTGACTGATAGCTAGGATACGCAGAAGGTGGGAGTTCATTTCAGATGGGAGTAATTACTACTCCTCTCTCCTTCTGCCCCTGTTCTTCACTCCTTTGAAAACGATTCTTCCACTCCATTCCTTCCTCACTCTTTGGCTCCCTTGTTTGTGAGCTCACAGGTGTGATAGTCTTGATATAAACTGTAAGTAGTTAGTAAGTTTTTGGTGAAATATATGGTGTATAACCACACATTGGACTCTTTGTTGCTAGATGATTCCTTTCATGTCAAATATTTCCCTTGATTCTAACTCTCTCTCTCTGTGTGTCTCTCTCTCTGTCTCTCTCTCTCTGTCTCTCTCCCCCCCCCCTCTCTCTCTCTCTCTGTGTGTGTGTGTGTGTGTGTGTGTGTGTGTGTGTTGGCTTGCTGGGATGTGAGGAGGGGGTACTAGAAACACGAAGATCAGGAATGAAGGAAGCTACTGTGTGTCAGCATCATGCTGGAGCTTTTTACCTTGCTGTACCACAGGGGACACTCTCCACTTTGTAAATGGGATCTTTAGTTTTTTTGTTAACTTAAAACAAATCTAGACATACCTGGGAAGAGGGAATCATAACTAAGGAATTTTGTTCATCAGATTGGCCTATGGCCATGTCTGTGAGGCATTTTCTTAATTACTGATTGATATAGAAAGGCTCAGCCCACAGTTGGTGGCACCATCCCTAGGCAGGTTGGCCTAGCTGTATGAGAGGTAGCTGAGCAAGCCAGAGGAAGACCGTGTTCCTCCATGGTCTCTACTTCAATCTCTGCCTCTAGGGTCCTACCCAGACTTCTTTCTGTTACTGGTGAGCTGTGACCAGTAAGCCAAACAAACCTTTCCTGCCCTAACTTGATTTTGGTCAGTGTTTCATCATAGCAACACAAAGCAGACTGGGACAAGAGACGAAAAGGAGAGGTGTAGTGATGTAAGTAGCCTGTTTAATCATTGGCAGAGTCGGATAAGGCAGGACAGAGTGCCACAGCTGCTGACAGAGTTGGAGCAAGCAAGCATGGGAAGGGCAGCCCTGTGCGTAGCCAGCTTCCCCGCTCCTCGTGATTCTGACTTTAAGTTGCATGCCTCAGGCAGCATCATGTTGGTATGTGGCTGGAAGAGTAAATGCTGTTTCTAGTGTTTTCTAATCTGAAACTGAAGGAGCAATTCCAGCCCCATTTTAATAATAATGTTTGTAGACGGAGAAGATGGCCAGGCATGTTCTTGGGGCTATGATTTTCTTTTACTAAAACCACTTTGCCTCACTTTAAGTGAACTCTTAAAAAAGAATAAAAAAAGAATATATTTTATTTTCATTAACCCTATTTGAATATAACAAGATAATTTCCCAGGAAGTTTTGTTTTGAACTTTTTGTACTTTATTAATTCTTATGAGAAACTCAGTGGATAATACTATTGCAGAATCTTTGCTCTATTTGTATTTTGCCATTACCAACACTGGCTGTTTATCCACAACTTCACATTTTGAGAATACCGAGGCCTCACTTAGATCAGGCAGAAGCTCTGCCGCTGAGCTTTATCTCCAGCCTGCTTTGAGACAAAGCCTAAGTTGTCCTGGCAGAAATAGTCTGCTGATCATGGACTTCCTGGTCTGGGTATTGAGGTTGTCATTCATGATAGTGGCAGGTCCTTAGATAGCCAGGGAGGAAGAGACTCCCAGAAGTTTGTGCTAAATATGTCCCTGTCATTTAAGGCATTGTCATGCTTGGGTTGTTCAGTCCTAATAAGGCCACCCAGGATTATGGCAGTGTTGTTTTTCATGATTGTGTCTTTAGAACCTAACAATAGTTTGCTGCTGTCTGTTTTATTAGTTACTGGTGTTGTATTTAAGGAAGACCACTGGCTGTTCTGTGTAGAATTGTAGTTCCCACCTGGACAATGAAGAGGGCTGTTCTCCCATGGAAGGAAGCCCTATGTTTGTTGTTGTTTCTGTGTAATTGAGCCGCAGCAGGGTGGATGTTGTAGTCATGGTTCTGTGTTGGTCTGAGTCTGAGGATCTGAATGGGGGCCCCAGGTTTATGCTCTGGGAGATTCCTCCTTTACCCTTCCATGTGATAATTTTCTATTCTCAAGATGAGGGATCAGATAAGACCCTCTCTAAGGATTCCAGAGCCCAACATGGTGGTGCCTGCCTGTAATCCTGGCACTTGGGAGGCAGAGACAGGAGAATTGCCATGATTTTGAGGCTGGCCTGGCTTACTGCGTGAGATCTGTCTCAAAAACTAGAATTCTGGAATTGTAACCAGTCTTTCAGACAGTGTTCCCTTCTGATTGCCTCACATTTGCCACTTAACTGCTTTTCACAGTGAGGAGATAATTAAAAACAGCCTCGGTGCTACTGAGAAAAGATGCTTTTCATCTCTCTCTCTTTCTCTCTCTCTCCTGAGACAGGGTTTCTGTGTAGCTTTGGAGGCTGTCCTGGAACCAGGCTGGTCTCGAACTCACAGAGATCCTCCTGCCTCTGCCTCCTGAGTGCCGGAATTAAAGGCATGCACTACCACCTCCCAGTGCTTTTCAGCTCTGAAGGCATAATAAAAATTTGCTTTGTGTTTTTCTTACTATTTTACCTGAATATAATATTTTTTAAATTGGATTAGAGAAGTGCTGTGAATTTTAATAGCCTTAGTCGTGTGCAGGTAATTAGATTTAAATTGACTAGAATGAAATATGATTTGGAATTTAGTTTTTCAGTTGTGCATTGTATTAGGGTTTTCTGGAGGAACAGAATCCATGGGATGAATAAATGTAAAATAATGTATTAACTTAACTTAAAATAGTAACAGCAGTTGTCTCCATGCTTGAGAGGCTGAGAACCAAGGAGTTAGTTGTATGGTCCTTTTCACTGGATGCTTCAGCAGTTGGAATCATCACACAGGAGCTGTTTTTTAGCTGTTGGGAACAACTTGGTGTGTTCGTGGGTGCCTTGCCAGTCTGGATCTGGTGCCAAAAACCTGGAAGGTTCCCAGAGAGCCATTGTTCCTTAATCCAAGCTTGGAATTCTGGAGAGACTGGTCCTGCTGTCAAATCAACCCTGCAGTAGAAGGGAAGGCCAGCGTTACCAAAGGCAATGACTTCCCTCTGCCATACCCTTTCTTATCTGAGCTGCTTCTAGAAGGACCTGCTCGCACACTGGATGGGTCTCCCATATCTGTTAAGGCGGGACAGCTCTTCAGTTGAGGCTCCCTACACTTGGGTGATACTGATTGATTCTGGCAAGTTGAACTTTCACATAGTTCCATCATTTCAAGTACTCAGCCACATGTGGCTAGTGGGCTACCATAAATATCACACATATAACCGTTTCTGTCATCACTATTGAATAGTGCTGGTTTAAAGCATGGCTTTTTACTATGAAATAAATGAGTCATATTCTTTGTGCAAGTGACTGGACAGTATGGAACATGAATCTCTGTAGCCTTTTTAGGTCCAATTTTCTGTTCGTCTGCCCACCCGTCTATCTATCTATCTATCTATCTATCTATCTATCTATCTATCTATCTATCATCTATGTATCTATCTATCTATCCAGGTGATGCAGTAGTGTGCACCTTTAATCCAGCACTCAGGAGGCAGAGCCAGATGGATCTCTGCATTCATGGTCAGTCTGGTCCACAAAGCAAATTCCAGGACAGCCAGGACTGTTACACAGAGAAATCCTGCCTTAAAACCAAACAAAAACAAAAAACAATGAAAAAAAGTTTTTTTTTTACTTGATTTATTCATGTTTTATTTTATGTATAAGTATTTTTCCTGCATTTATGTATGAGAATCATAAGTACCTGGAGTGATCAGAAGAGGGTATCAAGTCCCTGGAGTTACAGATGGTTCTGAGCCTCCATCTGGGTGCTGGGAACCAAACCCAGGTCTTTTGGAATATCAACAAGTACTGTTAACCACTGAGCCATCTCTCTAGCCCCTGTGTCAAAATTTCATTGGAATTAAAAAGAAAAGCTTCAGGTCTGGAGAGATGGCTCAGTGGTTGAGAGCACTGGCTGATATTCCAGACACCTGAGTTCAATTCCCAGCATCCACATGGCAGTTCTGGGGATTCAATACAGACATACATGCAGATAACACATCAATGCATATAAAATAAATCATTAAAAGAAAAAAGAAAAGCTGCTTAAATATAAGAGTATATAAATATTTAACAAGATTTTATTACAGTTATTTTGGTAATATAATCGTAAATGAGTAAGGATTCATCTGTCTTTGTATCATTGATGGGGATGTGTTCTTCAGATGGACTTTGTTTGTTTGCTTTAGATACAGAGTTTTAATTGTGCAGCCCTGACTGGCCCAGAACTGATTTGTAGACCAGGTTCATCTCAAACTCACAGACATATGCCTGCCTCTGCCTCTTAAACACTGGGATGAAGGGCATGTACCATCACATCTGGCTAGATGTGTTGTTTTAGAAGTGTTTAGAAGTTGTTTAGATGTGTTGGTGGAATGGATAGGGAGGACAGAGTGAAGGGAGGGTTAGATAGTCAACCTTGGATATCACCTTAGTACCCCAAATGACACTGAGGGGTATTTAAAGTTAATTCACCTGTGTGATACAAGGATTTCTGGTTAGTTTGGGATCAGTTACCTCTTAGCACTGTGTGCTTTGCTAACTCAGATGTCTCCAAGACTTTTGTGGCATCACTTACAAAAAGTGTAAACTGGTGATTAATGCCTAGAGATCACAATACCGTGTTGGAAATCAAGTCACTGAACCAAATTATCATGCATTCTTTGAATAGACTTTGGGACAGGTTTTTATCAAGTGTACTAGTGTATACACAGTGGATATCAAAACATGATTTTTTAAAAATTACATACAAGGATTGAGACCAAAATGAGGCAGTAAACTGTGACTTTGGTTGAATTATGATTTCTGTTTAGAGATGAATGGCCAGTGATAGCCCTTTCTGTTTTTCAGCTGCATAGTGGTCTAGCTGTTGATATATGAGTCCACCAAGACTAGTTAGGTGTAGTTTTCAGTCACAATCGAAATTACTTTAACAATTTGGACCTTAAAGTCCTAAAAAATTAGAAATTCCTTATGGTGTCAGGTGACCATATTCTGGGAAGTAGCTCTCTCCTACCCATGACTCAGGCCTTACCGTCTCACTGTTAATGGGCAAATGTGGAAACACTTAGACTTGCACATAATTAAGTGCACTGTTAGGTGTAGTCAGTCAGTCTAGAAGCTGCTAACAACCATGAAATATTTGTTATTTCTTAGTAGTTTATCACATTAATGCACAGAAGTATATTTCTTATTTCTCTTATTTTTCAGTTAGAATAGTGAGAGGAAGGAAAAAAACAAATGAACAAAAAACAAAAAAGCTTCCTTACAGTGAGCACCACATTGCAACCTAAGTATTTTAAAAGTGTATTCTTCTTTGTACACTTATGACAAAATAAACATTTCTTCTTGCCTGCATAAGCTAGCACTTACAAAAAAAAATAAACATCCGCTTTCAGTGCTCAACTCAGCATCTGTTTGCTGAGTGCCGTTCTGTGTTTTAATCTTGGTATGCTGAGCTCTCCACGTCACATGGGAATAATGAGTGCTCTGACATATCGACACCTACTGAAATAAAAACCCTGCCATGAATGTGTCTGCCTCTCCACCCAATGCATGTGATGCCACCAAACTCGGCTTTGGAACTGAAGTGTCAAAACCCGCTTATTCTAAGGTGTCGCTGTGCTTTTGGCTCGATGTTTTTTGCTCCTTTGCTCTGACAATTACTTGTTTAGTGATTAATTAATTATACATGTACTTTCTTCTTTCCCAGGAAGATTCAGAGAGGGCCAGGTATTCTCACCGGTCCGGCCAACACCGCCCTTATCTGGTTTGTAGTGACATATAAACTTGCCTGTGGTACTGTTCCTCATTGGCTTCATGTAGTCACAAACTTTTAATATGTTTGCTTTTATTTTTATCAGGGAGTTGAGGATACACTGTCTCTTCGAAGCCTTGGCAGTCACAGGGTTGGTATTCTAAGTTGTTTACCCTGAATGGCAAAGCTTTTAACAATGAGCTTTGCTCAGCATCAGTGGTTGTCTTAGCAGTCTGACAGTGCCCATGTATGCCTCTACATAACATAAGCGAGTAACACTGATAAGCTCTTTAGTAGAAGATGTTTTCTCTTAGATCATTGCTAGAAGTGAATCAATTCTAAAATCTTAAATATTTTTATCTTAACACAGGTCTGTTTTTCGATTTTTGTAGAAATACCTTTGATTTCAGAAAAGTATCACAAAATGATAAGATTGAGTTTTATGAAATAACATTGGCATTGTTTTAATTTTTAGATTCCCCCCCCTCCTACTTTCATATCTTAAACTGACAGCCTATTGAATGAGCATAGCTTTGGGCCTTGTCTGGCTAAGTACAATTATGATTACATGAAACTATTGATTTGAAAATATTTCTTGCCATATGTATAGGAATTATGCTTTGACATTTTATTTAGTATTTTATAATGTACCAGCCTTTTAAGTGTAGATCATTGTAAGTAGAGTGAGGATTTGCTGTCTAAAGTCCTTTGTGTTGTGCTGAGACATAATGTCTCCTCTTACTTCTTAAAGAATTGTGCCTGAAAACAGTGTTTTGCATTCATGATATTTATATTTTTCACCAGTAAGATCATCTTTTATATTAAGAGGTGTATTTGTTCCAACTCCTTCTTACTTTATATAAAAATGTACTGCTTAAGCTGTTCTGACATATCAGGTATTAACATTTTTATATTTGTTAACACTTCATTACACTCCAAAGCCTTGTTTTCTTTTGGTGTGTGTAATCTGTTGTGTTTCTTGAATAACTTTATAAACTGGTTTTAAGTCATAAATGCTCTGTTTAGTTACAAATTGTAGAGTATTTACAAATTTTTTAAGAAATCTAAGCTAACCAACCAGTGGCTTCAAGTGGCTTTATAGGGGCAGGGAAGCCGGCTCTGCAGTTAGAAAGCATTTGCTGCTGTTGCAGAAGACCTGGGTTCAGTTATTAGCACCCACATGGCAGCAGTTCACAGATGTATGTCAGTTTCAGGTCTGGGGCGTCTGATGCCCTCTTCTGGCCTTGCAGGCACCAGGGAGACCCATTGTGCACATGCATACAAACACACTTCTTTACGTGTTTGAATGTTTTTTAGGAGGAAAATGTATGCATTTGTCATGCTTGCTGCTAGAGGTACTTTTTCTTTCCTCTTTAAATAACTTTAAAAAATTATATAATGAGTCCACAAACATTTCAAAGTTGAGAATCAGGGGCTATAAAATATTCGCCACTTCCTTTTCTGACCAGTTTCTTTTTCAGTTATATTGCACAGAGTATGAGTTTTCACACATTTATTACTGAGCTAAGTATCTGTAAACTTGAATATGGCCTTGGAGGAGCTGGATTATGTTAGTTGATCATTAAGTTTGACCTAAATTAGGGGACTTTAAGTCAACCTTTGAATAAAAAAACAAAACATCTGCCGTTAAGCTGATAAGGAACTATTCACCTAGAGTGAGTATAAAGCTACCAGGTAAATATCCCTTTAATGGAAATTGTATCAGTAAATATTGGAGATAAAATTTTAATTCATTTTTTTAAAATTATGGTAGCTGTAAAAATGTGTTCCCATGGGTAGAAGAAAACTCTGTATTTTTTGAGGTTTATTTTAGGTGTATTGGTGCTGGAATGTGTATCTGTACTATGTGTGTATGGTACCCTCAGAGGCCAGAAGAGTTTGTCAGATCCTCTAGTTACAAATGATGTGAGCCCCTGTGTGGGTGCTGGGAATTGAACCCAGGTTCTCTGAAAGAGAAGGCAGTACTCTTAAATGCTGAGTCATCTTTCCAGCCAAAGCTTTTTGTATTTTTAAAAGTTACTGTATGAATGCCTAGGATGTAGCTAAGTGATAAGAGTTATTGACTAGCATGTGCAAGGACCTGGGTTTAATCTCTATCACTAGGAGAAAAATCTCATGTGAACTTGAAAAGTAACGAAGGAGGCTGTACTGTCCTTATGTGTATGTGTATGCATTCAGCACATTTTACATATATAGACATATGCAAAATTAAGTCTGAAGGCTCATTGATAAATTGTATTTCTTTTAAACAGTGTTCTTTTGTTTTTGATCACTCTGAGGATGGAACCTTGTTCCAAGTGCTCCTCCTCTGAGGCTGATTAATAGCCCCCAGCCTTTGAGATATTTTTTTCTTTTGTTCTGTTTTAATTAGATGGCATTAGGAATTCCAACCATTTGAAGTTTTTGTTGTTTTGTTTCAGGGGTTGGGCCCAGGATATGTGGTTAACCGACCACTCAGCTATCACTAGCTCTGGATTCTTGGCTTTTAAAATGACTTTACCATTTCCAGTAGTCTGAATATGTCAGACAGTTTTTGCCCTCTGTAAAAATAAATAAGACGGTCTAAAATGGTGACCTAAATATTCTTATGGTTTACCATATAATTTAGAGGTTTCAGTGTTTCTTTACCTGTGTTTTTAAACGCAAGAGTTGTGTTTAAAGGACTCTGCACATCTATTTGGTTTTGAAGCATTACCAGTGTAAGGATGTGGGTCAGGGGCATTTATGGTTTTATGCTTCATTTTTAGGACTTTGAACTTTCCTTTTGTCCACTTAGTTACCTTTCAGAAGCTATTCTGTTGAAAGGTATCCTGCCAGAAGCTATGTGGGTTGGAAATGCTATAGATACTAAGATTAAAAATAAAAAGGACAAAGGAAGTCTGAGCCTGAAACCAGGCTCGGTGGAGGGACGAGTAAGTCAGTCTTGGACTGAGAAATGAAGCCTTGTATGCTTGTTTGTTATATATAAATAGATTGCTAATAATATGGGTACCAGTAGCTGCCTTAAAAAAGTACTACAAATGCTTGATTATTGCTTTGTGTACTGAATACAAGAAGACAGTAGTAGAAAATATCAAATAAAGAAATAGTATGACTTTGAATCATAGGATAATCAATATTCCTCATTAGTGGAGAGTTTTATTCTTTAGTTACTGTTTATTTAGTTCCTTGCTGTAAACTAGTGGTTTTTAAATTATTCTTTAAACTTGCCTTTTTGTTTAAATTCACTGAAGCATTCTTCGAAGGATGTTACTGGGACACACTGGGGCCGAGCCAGTACACCCAAAAGGAGAGACATGATGGTGTGTAATTCTAAATGTGTGCTCTTAGATTTTTATGAGTTTATTGTCAGGGTTTTTGATATAGGAGCAACAGGAATAGTCTAGTAACACGTGAGAGTTTCTACTTTGTTTTCCTGTGAAATATTTTAAAGCAAGTTTCTCTGAGAATCAAAACACCCCACCCCACCCCCATTTAAAATACTTGTAGATCACTGGTCCATCATTGAGAGAAGTCAGGGCAGGAACTCAAGCAAGAGCTTGGAGCAGAAACCATGGAGTGTTGCTGCTTGCTGGCTTGCTCACAGACACATGCTTAGCTAGCTGGGACAGTGCTGCCCATATTGGGCTGGGCACTCCCCCTCCACCCCCATATGCCCATAGGCCATTGCACTAGCAGTTTTCAGTCACTATGGGCCCTGTGGAGCTGACAACTCTGTAGGAGAAGTGTCTTACCCTGATCTTTAATGTTCTCGATTTCCCCTTTTGATAAATCATTTGTTTTTAAGTGACGTTGCTACCAGCTGCCATTTATTAGAAAGGTTCTTTTTGTGTGCTCAGTTGTTAATGTGTCTACTTCATGGATTTCCCTACCATATATATTCTGGAACACTTAAACTATCTGGACCATGCATTTTATTTTGCAAAAAGAAAATTGGAATAAGTCAGTATAACAATGTAAAAGATATTTTTGCAAAATTGTATTTTTAAATGCTTTGTGATATACTTTTACCTTGGAGTAAGATTGCTTACAAACTTGTAAGCTCAAATGCTGAAAAAAGCATTGTTAGGAGACTAAATCCATTCATTTTCTTGGATTTTAAACAGGATTTGCATATTAAGGGAACCCTCATGGGAATGTGCATTCTCTGTTCCTATTCATTTTGCATAATTTTTTTGGTTATCTGCTGCATTCTACATTTTGTTCTGGCCAAGTTTCTCATTTTGTTGAGCATTTTCTTGAGGAAATGCTTTTTTGGTATATGCCTCTAAGGTTCAAGGAAGTGCCCTTGCTATGATTCCAAGATTGTTCTTTTGTAAGCCAGACCAGCTATGTGCTCTTCCTTGCTTTGCTCTTTTTCAAACAATGGCAAACAGTGGTAGCAGGCACAGAGATGAGAAGGAAAGCGTCTTTGACCTTAGAATGGTTTTTTAACTGAACATTTAAAGCCTTCCTTAGCCTGTATTGTTCTGAAATATCCTAAGATTGAATCATCTTACCATTACTGATTCTGAATTTTGTTATTTGAAAGGAAAATAGAGGCTGAGGAGTATCTGTGGTAAGGTGCTTGCACAGCATGCCCAAAGATTCTTAAGTGCAGCCAAAAGTTGGGGTTGGGAAGAATACAGCTTTCTATATGTTTAGGATGGGATTTTGTCTCAAACCCCAAAGTAACTAGGGTATGGGTGCATATTACTGTGCCTGGCATAAAACAAAGTTTTAATTACACATGCAGTTTAGCAATAATTTCTACTAAAAAAAGTAAAGGTTATATCTAGGTAGAATAGTTTTTGCATTTAATAATATTTTGCTTTTGAAGTAGCACTGTTTTGATTTTAATTTTTTTTTTTTTCCCCCTTATGTTCCTCACTTTGGCAATGCAACCAACTTTCCCACTTTTCTGAACTCTGCAGTATGATACCCTCAAGGACAGATCATCAAGGGTTTCATCATTAGTATGTAGTGCATGACTTTTGTTAAGTGTGAGATTTTTCTTTCTAAAGTTATGACTAACTTTCATGGTTTTGTTCTGATCTTTTGAGAGAAAATGTACAACAACAAAAAAAAAAAACCATTTTTGCACTTGTGGCATAATATGTTACTGGAATAATAGATTTTCCCATAGACTTCAGAATCCAACTGAGAACCTACTTCAGTGTAAAGCTCTTCCTTAGCATTGCAAGGCTGTAGGTTTGCTCCCCAATACCACAAAAAACAAAACAACAACAACAAAAAAAAAAACCAAAAACACCTCAAATGGACAAACATTTACTATAAGAGCCAAGATTTCTCACTCAGTAGTTCAGTCATAGTTCTGCACGTGCTGCACAGGGGGACTCGTTTGCTTATTTTTTTTTAACTTCCTGTTTACTTTGTTTGTGCATGTGTGTCACATGGCACACATGTGGAGATCAGAGGACAACTTGTTGGAGCTGGTTCTCTCCTGCTACCATGTTGGTCCCAAGGGTTGAACTCAGGGTATCTAGCATCAGGCTTGGCAGCAAGCATCTTTGTCCTCTGAGCCTTCTATCTCTCCAGCCTCTGACAGTGTTCTGAGACAGTCTGAGCTACAGGAGCACAGACTTGTGCTTCATACCATGTGTCCTAAGCTGACAGATTACTAAATGAAACATCTAGCAGTGATGGGTGGCAGCTAAAGATGACCAAGAATTTTGACTTGACATACTGAATTAGTTAAGGAAGTCAAACTGGCTTGTTTTCTTTGGGTTATGATTATATTGGTACATTGTCCAAGTTTGTAGGCTTCATACTTTTCATTTAGATGTTACAATAAAGTATAAAAGAATATTCACACTGAGAAAGTGAGCTTGTTCTTACTGTTGAGGGTCTGACTGTGTGAAGTGGTTTTCCTAGGGTAGCCGGGTAGCCTGCTGCCCTTGGTTGTTCATGGGTACTTGCAGCTGCACAGTCTCATTACCTAGATTGGGTTTGTTGTCTGCTGGTTGTTGGTAAGTGATAGTCCTGACCTTTGTCCCCCTAAGAGAAGTTATGTTTTTATATAATCATCTTTTCAAAGTACACTGTGTAAGATTAAGTACATACATGGTAGGTATGTCTCTCCTGAATGGCATATGCCATGGATCTACTAACTTGGTCTGAGGGCTGGAGAGATGGCTAAAGGGTTAAGAGCACTTACTGTTCTTCCAGAGGTCCTCAGTTCAGGTCTCAGCATCCATGTTGACTGACTCACAACACCTCTAACCTAGTTCTGGGAATCCACACCCTCTTTGCATTTGCACACATAGGACATATGCACATAAATATATACACATAAATTAAATCCCCCCAAAAGAGTATTGCTTTCAGTAATAAAATGTCCTTTTGGTTTATTTGCAGCATTGTTTTTGCTTTTAGATAGGATGACTAAATTAGAAGGGGGAATAGACTCTTGCCACCTGTAGCTTTCTAGAGGAAAAGAAAAGGGGTTAAGACTCAAGTGAAGAGTATAGTGAAGGCCCCGTGGTCGGATTTGTCTATGAGCCACCAGCTCACAATATTGACACAGAGACCTGTTATTAATTATGAGAGCTTGGCCTTAGTTTAGGCTTGTCCCACTAACTCTTATAACTTAGATTGATGAATTTTTCATCTACATTCTGTCACATAGCTTATTGCCCCATCCCTCCATACTGCCCATGCTGTTTCCTCCCTGTCTGGCTGGCGACTTTGCCTTTTTCTTCCCAGAGTTCTCTCTCTGCCTGGAAGTCCTGTCTAAACCTCCTTCCTAGCTATTGGCTTTTTATTAAACCAATCACAGCAATACCACCTCACACAGGGTATGAATATCCCACAGTTTTTCCATAGACATCCTTCAGACTCTGTGTCCTCACTAGGTTCCCTTTAGCTTGCCAGACATCAGGTTAGTTTAGTGGTCGTAAGGAGAAGGAAGAGAGGGTGATGTGTCTCCAGACTGTATCTCTCAGCCTTGCAAGTTCACTCAGTTCTGTTACTGGCAGGAAGTAGGTTGTGTGCATGCTACTCTGTACTGCATGTATCTTTGCTACTATTTTATGATGAATTTCATTCTTAAAATGTCACTACAAGACCATTAAGGTTAAATTACAACTTTTACTTACAGAACTATTCTTACAGTCACGCCTATGGAATGAAGAAGCGATCTTCTGGTTCTCATAAAGACCCCCTGGTTAGTTCTCCTTTGGAAGTTTGATCTAGTTGTGATATTATGGGCAGCACCAAATAACAAGTGGGTTTCAGTCTCAAAGTTTGTTTTTAGAAACTTAGAATGTACTTTCCTATATAAACAATAAAGTATGTAATAGAGAGTTCCCATGTGAGAATTTTCAAACCCTCTCACCTATGTGAACACAATGCAGAACTAATAGCCTTCCATTCCAGTCACTTGGCCAAATGTTTCTGTAGAGAACAAATGCTACAGAATGCTCACTTGGGGTGCTCCGAAAATCCCCTTTTCCTTATGGTGCAGAAATGTAGTCCCTAGCTTGATGCCAATTCTGGGCTCCCATGGGAGCATGGGAGGATTCAGGTAGAAGGGAAGAGGGAGGAGAATGTGGCTGAAGGAAGGTCATTAGAGGCCTTGGTGTGTAGGACCTGGTGCTTTTATGCCCTGGTGAGTGATGGCAGAAGGCAGGGCCAAGGTGGTGTGGGTGCTTAGAAGCAGGACTTGCAAGCAGTATCAGCAGTAGGGAGACCCTAAGCCAGGGGTTCTTACACTTGCTTAACCTCTAGCAGAGGGAGACTTGAAAGATGATTTCTCTGACCTAGTAAATTATTCAATGGTCCTAGGTTTTTCAGGGGGCATTCTTAACTGTAGGATGGGAATAACTCAGTTATTTGCATTTCATTTTTATCTGAGGGTGTTTTATCTTGTTTTTAAAGTAGTAATAAGTAGTAATGACCTTGTTTGAAGTAGCTGACCTTTAGTGCCCACCCCTTACAAGAGATTTTAAATGACTGCTACTTTGTCCCTTTCTCTGCTGTGATCCAGTGCTTTAAAGGCACTGCCCTGGGGAAGAAGGAGTCTTGACAGTATCAGATTTTGGCTGTGTATTCAAATTTTGTCTTGCTGTGTCTTTGCATCAAAAACATTTAACCTAAGAAAAGTGTGTCAAATTTTGCTTTTTGCAGAGTGGCCTCTATTTTGACCAGAGGAACTATAGCAGTCTTAGACATAGCAAACCTGCTTCTACCTACTACTGTCGGGTTTGTCTAAAGTCTTTTGGTCTCATGTATCTTACCTACCCTTAACATACTAATCTCCCATTTTTCATTTTGACTATTTGTAACTAATCTAGGAATGGTTTGGATGTGCCAGTTTTGGTAACTGATTCATATACTCCTTCTTGAGTGTGTCTTCAGTGAGAACTGTCAAATCACCAAGTTTGTAATGAAAATTTCAAACAGAAAAAGAATTTGTACAGTGAACATCGCAAACTACTACTTAGATTATATAGTTTATTTCGTTAGTCACATTTATTTGTCTAATACTTTATCATTCCACTTTTTGTTTGTTTTTAAGACAGTTTCCCTATGTAAGTAGCCCAGGTTCAAACTCAAGATTCTTCTGCCTCAGACTCCACATTGCTGGCGTTAATGTGGGACCACAATGCCCAGCTTCTATCTAGCTTTTTGATTCATTTCAAATTAAGGTATGGGCATCAATACACTCCCTGTTAGATACGCTTTTAAAAAGTTGGCATGTAAAAATATAAGCTACATATAGGATGAGAGGGATATTATTATTTGTTTTTAATGCACTGTTAGAATCTCCTTTTTCTTTTTTGTCTGTTTTGGGGGTGGGGTTGCTTATTTTATTTCTTTTTGAGACATGGTGTGTCTCTGTAGGCAAGGCCTAGTCGTCCTGCCTCAGCCACTCGTGTGCAGGGTACCACCACAGTCAGCTACAATCTTATTTTTTTTCCCCAAAGACATTTAACATTTAAAGCATACTGTAATGTGTGGGACCCTGTACATTTAAAAGTATTCAGGAATGGGAGCTAATCTACGTGATAGAATAACTCATTAGCACTTACAAGACTCTGGGCTCCATTCCTTGTCCTGGGAAACAGTCAACTTAAAAACCTGTCTGCACACATCGCTTCACTATTCTTTGTTTCTGTGGGTTTAGTGAAAAAGAACTGAAAATTGTGTCTTAAGTGACACCAAGGAAATAAATGCAATTTATAAAAAGTACTTTTAATGCATGGACTCTGGTGACTAGTGCGGCTTATGTGGTTAACCACATGCTTTGTCCGTGGCTTCCAACGATAGGCTTTCAAATCTGTTTGGGAAAACAGTAGTGATAACAGTAACTAAGAACTCACCACCTTGAGTCACCTGTAAGCTGGCCAAGCCCACTGGGAATCTGTCACAAAAGAATTGACAGTGCCCAGGAAGTAGGCGAGAGGTCCCAGGCTGTCACTTGACACAGTCCTCTTTTCCTCAGTGTTTCCCTGCCCCCACCCCCTTCCCGCCAGCCAGTGGTTCTCTAACACCAAAAGCTGGTGCATGGTGACAGAAGACTGTGAGAGGTGGTTTTCTTTCTTACCCTTAACGGTGTGCATTCTAAAAATCCTAGTTCCTTTTTTCTTACCTCATGTGTTTTTACACTACTGTAAGCACAGGGCTTGCTAATGAGTTGTGGAGTTTAAAACCATTAACGTAGTCTTCGACTTGCATGATGGTGAGGTGCATTCTCCTTCCTGTGTTTCTGTTTTGCTTATTTCTGTGTTCTGCCTCTCTTTGCAGTCTTCTTCCCTGTGCAGTGACCCCCTAGGGACATCTCCGAGTAAGAACAGGGTTAGTACTTTTGAGGAGCGTTGTGGCCATCCCAGCTGCCCTTGCCTTTCTTTAGGTTTAATGACTGCACTTATTCCATAGGCCTCCTCTACTGCAAATTCTGGTGTGCTGAGAAGCGCCAGCCTGGTTTGTATTCCTTCTTCCAGTGTGTGCTCTGTGGCAGGGCCGCTGTCATGGTGCTGATTGAGCTGTGTGGCTTTCCTGCCACGTGTGCTGCACACTACGCTGCCTGTGCTTAGGATACAAAACGTAGGGCATGAAAAACAATCCTGTTCTCTTTGCCAACGTAGTTATGGATGACTTCTGGAGGCTTATGTTAGGAATCTGTTTCCCACAAGGAGATAAACTCACCTGGGTCCCACCACATTCATTTAGTTTTATATGGTATATTTATGACCTCAGGCTGTGGCAACAAAAGTCTACCAGGCAAGCTGAATTAAAGCATAACCAGTAGCTTTGTGTGATGTGCCAGTTGTTTGAGCTTCTAGCTGTTGATGTTCTGTGGCCAGTTTCAGAAGACTGGAGCCCAGAATGCTTATACTTGTTTACTTCCGCACGGTTTGTTCTTTTAAGAGACTAAATTAATTAATGTTAGCTTCCTCTTGTTATAATATGAGGGCAAAAATTACTGTTGTGTTTTTTAAACAAATATATTGTTGAAGTCATAATGAAACTGAGAAGTGAATTGTGTGTGAATATCACACACCATCCTCAGACATTTTTTTGAATTATGAACTGCCAAAATAATAAATATATTTTCAGAATAACACCAGTGCTAAATAAAAAAGCAGTATTCTTTTGTTCTCCAGGCATCATTGTATGATGGTGGATTATATAACCCTTATGGTTCTCGAACCGTAAGTCTAAATGGGAAGGGGGTGGATATAAGAGGGGGACAGGGAGTCATTTAGTCTGGCGCATTCATTCAGCCAACTGTGAGAAGGTGACTACTGGCGACTGAGTTAACATCTGAGAGGTGTCTTAGAGGAACTCTTGGGCATCTCCTCCCCTTTTGAGGGTGGGTGTGAGGTGGAATGCCAGACGAGGAAAAGCAGCTATTTCACCTTGGGCACCTGAGTCAAAATAAGAGTAGGGTCACTGTATTCCCAGCAGAAGAACCCAGCTGGCTGGCCATTGTTGTAAAGCCTTTCTTCTTGCAAACCTTATAGCCATCTGAGTACAGTTACTACTCATCGAGAGCAAGTTCCTCCCGAAGCAGCCCTGTGGTAAGCTGTCCAGCTTCTCTGCACACTTTACAAGGGTGTAGTTGTTCTGCATTCACACTTTATTAAATAGAGTGGTGTGTTTCACTGTCTTGTGCATGGATTATGGGCTCCCACGTCCATAAAAATCAAATACTAATATGTGCTAATTATTTGTTTTTGTGTGGACCCAAGTAATTTCTTAACTGAGTCTGGGGTCAAGGCCATGGACAGGCTTCATCTATGTGAAACACTTTGCCTTTCAAGTCTTGGTGGTTCCACTCTGGGCTTCCCCTGCTTGTGTTCCTGCATTGCCGTTCCCCTTGCTTACCAGCCCTTCTGTCTGTGGAATTGTGGGAGGAGTACAGCAAACCAATTCATAAAGCTTGTTACATATGACTGCCTACGCTCTCTGGAACATTACAATTTATTTTGCGGTTTACATAGGTAAGTATTATCAGTAAAGGACAAGTCCAGAGTAAAGTCCCAGACATGTCCTTGCACGCAGCCTGTTCATATGCATGCTTTCAGAGATGTTTTGGACATGTATGAATGCTTTTCATTTTGACCATAAATGGCTTCCTTTCTAGTATGTGCCATCCCTCATGCTTCCTTAAAGTATCTTTCTGTGTCAGTGCATTTATAGCATCCTTTTTTGCTGTTATTATTATTATTATTATCATCATTATTTTAAACAATTAAGTTATGCTCCCTTTTCAATTATTTTCTCTTTGAGATAGTTTCATATCATCAAATATTTTAAATGTCAGTGTACTATCCCATGAATGCATTTTAAAAATTATTTTACTATTGATGGTCATTTAGATGGTCAGACATTTTCTGTGGGTACACATGAGCTGTGCATGCACATATGGAGGTCAGAGGTCAAAGTCAGGTGTCTACACCTGTTACTCCTCTCTACCTTATCAGGGTATCACTGAACCTAGAGATCACTGTTTTGGCTAGACTTGCTATCCAGGGAGCCCCTTCCTTTCCTCACTTCCCCCTCCGCCCTCCCCTCTCTCCCTCTCCCCCCTCCCTTCCTTCCTCTCTCCCTCCCTTCTTTCTTTCTTTCTCTCTCTCTCTCTTTTTTTTTTTTTTTTGAGACAAAGTTTCTCCATGTAGCCTTGGCTGTCCTGGAACTCACTCTGTATACCAGGCTGGCCTTGAACTCACAGAGATCCGCCTGCCTCTGCCTCACCACCACACAGTGGATGTTTACTCTTAATCCACTGTGTACTCAAAATTCTACTGGGCAGTTTTCATATCTGGTGACATTTTTAAAATCCAAATGTAGTATCCCCCTGCAAAAAGTTTTGATAATTTACTTTCAAAACTGCAACAGTGCAGGTCCTTTTCCTTGTGAGCTGGCTATGTTCTGTTTCATTTGTAATTTGGGTTCAGAATTACTATCTTAGTGATGCCAAAATGGTGTCTTGGTGACATCAGAATGGGGATAGACTAGATGCCAAAGTTGAGTTCTGCCTATGGAGTGGAAAGAACAGAGTCCTGTGAGGGTTAATAGTACCATCTCCGCCAGCTGTGGAGGAATGCTTACCAGGAAATGAGTCATTGCCTTGGGGCTTTGGTGGTAGGAACATCTTTGACATATGTTATTTCATTTTAAAACATTTTTTTCTTTCCCAAATTGAAATCTTAAGTGTATTTATTGACCTCTCAAGGGACTTCATAGATCTGCAAGTCTAAAAATCCATGACCTCCCTAGCTGATTTTGTCTAGTTCACTTACACCCTCAACAGTGTTTAACTTATATAAAAGAGTTTTGCTTTATTCTTTGTGCTTTTGGGAAGTATCTTGATTTTTTTTAGTGTTTTGTTATGAATTATAGCAGCTTATCTCTTTAATGGTGCACAATGGCTCATGCCAGTTATAATGCTTGTGTAGAGTGGCCTCCTGAAACTCTCCCAGTGTGTTTATAGTTTGTGAGACCAACAGAGAAACTGAATCTTTTTCACTTTCTCTAGTCCATCGATGGTGACACCGCAAGCATTGTGTCTTCTGATCGTGCCAGTTGTGGGCGAAGGGACAGTGTGGTGAGCATGGTCTGCATGCAAGCAAATATAGCTTTTACAGTGGCAACACTGTATGATTATATGAAATTTACTGTAATGTAAAATTTGTATTTTCCTTAAACATAATTTATATGAATAATTTGCTTTGTAATGTGGTCTTGAGAATAAATCATAGACTCACGTGTTTTATATACAAATTGTTTATTGAAAACTTTTACTTTGCTTTTTCTTATACACATATTTTATGTTCCTATTTTCAAGCAAGAGTCACTTGCACCATCCTATAGTCCTTGTGTATAAGACTGTGACATTTGTCAGCTGCTGATGGCAGGATTTAAAATCAGTCCGTACATTTTACCCAGTTAATCATTGTGGACATGGTAATATTTTCATGTCATTCTTTAATGAAACTGGAATTTTGCGGAGTGACATTTTTGTTCTCTATAAGGAACTGATGTGGAAATTAGAGTAGAGGACTGTGTGTCATCTTGGAGCTAGAATAAAGAGGCCTGTGAAGCTGCATTTGCTTCCAGAAAAGAAAATTAATGTGGACGATTGTACACCTAGAGTTCTCATAAAGGGAGCATCACATGTTTGTGTGAGATACATTGATCCAATTAAAGCATCTGTGGTCCCTCAGCCATTCAGGCAATGCTCATACAGACATGGTCATGGCTGAAGGAGAGGTAACAGTCAAAAGTCTGAAGACAGTGTGAGTAGGGACTTACAGTGATGGTGATGGGCTTGCCTCAGCCTCAATAGCCTGGTAGTTATTTCTGTCCAGTGGAGATGCCAGTGGCTGTCTGCTTTGTTGATAGGCTTAAGACCTATCAATGAGTGTAAGGAGTTCGGTTTTTCCACCCGCCGCCACTCTTGTCCGGCAGCTGCGCCGCCAGCCCCAAATAATACACAGAGACTCTGTATTTGATACAATACTGTTGGCCCGGTTACTTGTTTCTTATCGGCTAGCTCTGTCTTTAATTATGAACCCATTTCTGCTGATCTATGTATTTTCACATGGCCTTCTCTTACAGGGGAGGCGGCTGGCGTCCAGCTCTCTCCTGACTCTCCATCTTGACTCCTCCTTCCTACTTCCTATTTCCTCCTTGTCTCCTAGTCCCTCCTATCTTCCTTTCCTATTGGCCAACAGTGCTTTATTATTAACCAGTATGAGAAACATATACAGAATGACATCTCCCATCAAATGAGTAACTCCGGAAGATACCTTTCAAAATTCTAAGGTAGTAGGTACTAATACATGTTATATATAAATCAAGTTGTAAAGGATAAGAATATCATTGCTTGATCTTGTTAGCCGTTGGCAGACGTCATACTTTTAAAACTATTATTCCCATGGATGGGTTTCTGAATCCAGTTCTTGGGGTGAAGAATTTTATTTATTTTGGATTTTTCGAGATAGGGTTTCTCAGTGTAGCTTTGTAGATCAGGCTGGTCTCAAACTTGCAGAGATCTGCCTGCCTCTGCCTCCCAAGTTCTGGGATTAAAGGCGTGCGCCACCACCACCCGGCTGGGGTGAGAAATTTTAAAGCAAGGCAAACAAATAGCTCAAGTTCAGAATGACTGATGCATGGGGTATAGTCATTTGACAGTTGTTAATGAAGTGCCTTTGTATCTGTGGCATGGTGTTAAGTCCTAGGAATGATGTGTTAAACCAAGGATAGATTGCTGACATTTTGGAGCTTGTGTCCTAGTAAAAGACATAGAACTAAACTAGTAAAGGAATGATCACAAAAAGAAGACAGCCCAGGGTATGAAGAAAAGAGCAGATGCCTGTGATAGAGGCCCTTGGAAGAGTTCTCAGAGACAGTGACTTCTGAGAGGAGGCTCAGCTGTTTGAAGAGCAAGAGAAGGGACTTCCCAGGCCAGTCTTCCTCATTTTTTTTGTCCAACAATTCCTGATGTGACATGTGAAAAGTAAGAAATTATTGTGGAGTTTGAGTATTGCCAGAGTTGATAGCTATAAGGAGTTGTGATATTGTAAAATACAATGAGATTTGATAGTGCCTGAACACTGCCCTCACCAGTCACAGTTCAGTGCTTCCCTGTGGAATGCTTGCCTATCATGAGCTCAGTGTAGCATAGAATTGCACTTGATACCCATGAAAGAGCTTGTTTTAGGGACCACTTTTCTTTTTTACTTTTTGAAATAGGTCAGTTGTAAAAGTTTCCTCATTCACAATATATCAAACATCAAATTAAGACAGGCACACAATTTCCCAGTTAGCTAGTGTTCTTTTTCTTCTTTCTGACTTTTAAAGCATCTCATTTTCTCTGACTGAAAGGTCTCTGCTGCTGATTATTTTAGTCGGCCCAATCGTAGGGGGAGTGTAGTCTCTGAGGTTGATGACGCCGGCATCTCAGACTTGACCAGCGTGAGTGTTTTGCATGGGGTCCTTGTGTTGTCCCAGGCATGTGACTAACAGCTTATGTAGTAGCTACCTTTATAATTAGGAATTTAATAACTCCTTGGACATATTTACTTAAGCATATTAACATGAAACAATTATTTTAGAATATAATTGTTAAAATGTACTTAAAAATCCCTCTTTCTTTTACTCTGTGGAATCCCCTTATAGAACTCATGACCATCTTCATTGATTCCTAATACCATCTAATTTTTGTTTGGGATTTTTTTTTTTTTTTTTTTTTTTTTTTTGGGAGACAGGGTTTCTCTGTAGCTTTGGAGCCTGTCCTGGAACTAGCACTGTAAACCAGGCTGGTCTTGAACTTACAGAGATCTGCTTGCCTCTGCCTCCCAAGTGCTGGGGTTAAGTGTGTGCGCCCCCAACGCCCGGTGGTATATTTTTTTTTTTTTCACTATTCCTTTTTTCTGAATGATTGTAGAGTCAATCCATTTACATCATGCTATTTCCTAATAGGTAGTTGATATGCATACCTAGCCTACCATTCGTTCTGGGTTACTTTTTACCCCTTCTTGGTTTGGATAAATCTATGAAGTGTTAGACTTTAAAAGCTGAATAATAAAGTATGCCACTTGGTAAAATACCACTGATTTTCAGTAGCCTGAAAGAAGCTGGAGAGATTTTAAAGTGGACTCTGGCATTGATCTGAGGTACCCTTCTGGTGGAAGCAGAGTGTGATGGAGGCACCTGGGTACCCACCCTGCAGATACACATTGTGACCTGCCTGCTGAGCTCATTTCTCCAGCCCCTCCTCCACCTGGCCTGGCAGCACACAGACAAGCCATGTTCTGATTGTCCAGTACTTTGGAGGGTATGAGAGGTAGTGTTCTTCTTGGAAGCACAGAGATCGTTTTTATTGGCACTTCTCTTACGGTAGGAAGTTGCTATTTCTGAACTGTTTTAATCCTAGAAAATAATCTTAATTATTTTCATTGCAGTCCTAATTGTTCCACATTACTAGCTTAAATTTGGCCATATAGCAATCTCATCTTGCTGTGGATCGAACTAAGGACTTTGTCTATTGTGAAATTAGAAGCTGGTTTCCCAGTTATTCTGAGGTGTTGCTTATTTGATTAACCTGTTGAGTAACCTCTTTTTACTTTTTTAAACCATTTTCATTTATTTTGTGTATGTATGTTCATGTGAGCATATGGCGTGGAGCACAGGTTTAGGTCAGTGGACAGCTTGCAGGAGTTGGTTTTCTCCTTTCATGTGGCCCTGGGGATTGGACTCGTGTCATGAGGCGCAGTGGCAGTGCCTTGTACCTGCTGAGCCATCTCACATGTCCCTTGGTACCCACCTTTTTCATAGGTACAACTGAACTTACCGAGTATGCCTGTTTTCACTATAGCTTGTTCTCTGTCAGTCTCACAACTCATGATGCCTGAATTAGTGGCTATATCTTTTGTCCATTTAGTTCTTGGCAGTTTGCTTTAGTAATTATGTAGAAATGAAGAATGTTACAATTTGTGTCCTCCTGCCTCTGTCAAATACCTCTGTAATGTAAGCAAAAGATTACTCTGAACAGGACTTTTAAAGTTTTCCTGTTATTTTATAGTCTGAGACCCATTGCCTTTTGTATTTTTAAGTACCTATGAAATACCATTATTTTTGCTTTTTGATAATGTCCTCTCAACTGTCGACTCTCTGTAACGTAAAAGCTGTTCACTTTAGTTCATCACACTGAAGCAGGTGAAAGGGGATTTACATTGGTCAGTCCTTCCCTGTCCTCAGCTCTGCTTTTGCAAGATGCTTTCTAGCTGCCACTGTGGGCCCATTGTATGCTCACAGGGTGATAGATAATCCTGGATCCAGGAGGTGCTGGGAAAGGTGCCAGCCAGTTCTACAACATTACAGGACTCATGTCTTGTTCTGTAGGTCAGGGTAGAATAAAGGAAAAGAGTATAAATGTGTGCTGACTTACTGTTCATTGTACCTGTTTTTTGAAAGAAATCCTTAGCCAGATTAACTTCAGGAAATCATTAAACCCATTGTTTTCTTCCCTTCGATGGTTATGGAATCAGTTCACTTTCTGTGTTTTGTTTTTCATTAAACAAGTTTTAGATAACCTTGTCATTGTTAGGTTGAACATTCTTATTCTTAATACAAAAATCCAAAATTCATAATGTTCTAAAATCTTAAAGTTTTTGAGTATCTTCATCATGCTAAATAAGTTGGGTTGTGGTCAAACTTTAGTTACACTAAAAATAATATGTAAAATTAACTTATGTGTATAAAGTATGAAATGTAGATGCATTCTATGTTTAGACTTTTACGTACCAGGATATCTCAGTGTGTACATATTGATTATTTCCACAAGTGGAAAAAAATCCTAAATTTGAAACACTTCGTTTCCCAAGTATGTCAAATGAAGGATATTTATTAGAAGTTAATGGATAATTGTGATCTAATGAGTACATTTAACAAACAACACTATAAACACTTATTTAGAGTCTGCTTTCATACCTTAAGCATGATTAAATTTTATTGCATTTAAAAAGCCTTTTCAGGATCTGGCAGGTACTTTGAGCCATCATTATAAATATTAGCTTGTCATTGCAGGACACCTGTATAGGCTGAAGGGGTCTCTGGCCCATTGACTGCAGCCAGTGTGATTGGACTGCACTGGCCTGGCTGCTGCTCTCTGCTGGCACAACATTCCTCAGCTTTGGTGCATGACCAGCTTGAATTGCGACAGCTGGGATCTGTTAGGATACAGTAGCACGACAGAGTCAACACTGTGGTGGCTTCAGTACTGCAGCCTCAGAAATGTTAAGATTATTCCAAGGCGAAGCCTAGTAAAATGGGTGAATTTGGGGGCTGTTTTTATAAGACAGATGTTATCAAGAAGGGGTTCAGATGGACTTGAATATTTTAATTTTGAGTGCTTCTTTTCTCATTAACTGAGTAGCCGAAAAGAATCAGAAAATACTTATAAAAATATAGCAACTTTATGAAGATAAACATCTTTACTTTGAGTGAGGTTGACTATTGGGCAGCTTTGGTCAGGAGTGGAGCTTGAGAGGGGTTCTTCCTTGTTTAGAGCAGAAGGGGGCAGTATTAAGCCCCAGCTGTCATTGCTTGCTTGTTGTAGTACATTTCATGTTATTTTTAACTAAATCCAAATAATTTAAAGTGATTTCCTTTTGAAAGTATTACAGCAAGACGTGAAACTTCAAAACCCAGCATTTGTATTACTGATAAGAGTACATATTGAGTAAAAGGTCTTTATTAAACAAGGTAACTGGGTAATAAAAACACACTAGAAACGTTCACATCTGAGCAAAGGCAGACATGCTTCCTGTTTTCGTCATTAACTGAAGAAGGTCTTCAAACCTCTTTCTGGACTGGGCTTGGAAGGCTGACCTCAGGGTTCAGGGCTGGGGATACTTTATTTTCATTTAGTTTTACCTTCCTGTGTTACCTTTCCCACTATGGCAAGTAAATATGAATGCTGGAAGTTTATGAAACATGCTCAGATACAGCTGGGGCAGTTAGTAATGGCTCAACCTCCAGCAAAATTTTTTTTTGCCTTAGCTGTAGTTAGGATTTTGGAATAAATCTTTAAAGGGTCCTTCCTTTTTGAAGCAGGTCTGGAAAGCCAGGGAAACCCTAGTTAGCAGCAGAAGACGAGTTAGTCTGATGGTGGCATGTTGAGATATATGCCACTGTGGAGATACCAAAATAAGTGAAGCCTGTGAGTAGAGATGGGTGGAGTGTGGATTCTGAGCCTTATACACTAGGCATGGTACTTTTCCTTGCTGGAGTACAGAGAAGGATATGTAGATACAAGGCTTGCATGCCAGAGATCAGAAAACAGAAGAGAAAAAAGGTGGAGGTTGTCTTTTGACATTGCTAAGATTTTGAGAGAGAGACTTGGGGTTGATGGTCCTTGTTATAGCAGGGCCTGGTGGTGTGGAAGGCGGATTTTTTAAAAATTTTTATTTAAATTAAAAATCAATCTTATTTTATATACCAATCCCAGTTCCCTCTCCCTCCCAACCTTCCATTCCCTGCACCATCCCTCCAACCACTCCTCAGGGAGGGTGAGGGGAAGATGGATTTCTTATACTCTTTTGTACTGCTTGAATTTGCTATGTGTGTAAGAAAACATGTTTATATAACCTGCTTTTGTCATTTAATAGTTTGTATGCATGCGTTCTGTGTCTTAATAATGTTTAAAACTTCTTTTGTATTGTCTGTTGCAGTGCTTGTATTGGGAGCTGTATGAAGTTTTTCTTAATGTATTTATTAAATACCATGAAAAGAAAAATCTATCTAAACAATCTAAATTTTTGAATTTATGCAGCTTGCTTCCAGCAACGAACTAAAAATTCTTGACATTTTGTTATGACTTTTATTTCAGTTTTTATGTGTTTACTTTTGGTTCACACATCACTGAACTTAGAAAACTCCATTGAGATTGCTTGACTACCCACAAAACAAGAGTCGGCATGCTGGATATCTTCTTGATCTTCTTATCTCTCTTTTTTTCTAGTTGGATGAAAAATCGGATAAACAGTATGCTGAAAATTACACAAGAGTGAGTATAAAATCCTTGATGGGATGGTGCTCTCAGGGTCAGCCCCATGCTTCCTGTAACTCATCCATTCTGTTCAGCACAATTGGCCAATAGAACTGCCCTTCCCATCATCTGTTTCCTGTCCTTGACCCCTCAGAATTCCTCCAGCCTTAGATCATGTGAAAATCCTGGGAAGAGCGAAGCCTGCGTTTTATTTCATGGGACGTCATGCCTAAAGCTTTTGGCTATTCCTTTGATTCCCATTCTCTAAAAACTGATATTGACAAGCCATTAGGAATGGACCAACAAATCCATAGCTTTGATTTTTTTTTTTTCCTCGTAGCCTACTAACTCCCATGTGGAGGAATACCTTTGTAGTAAAGTTTTTGTTTTTTAAACATATTTTTAAGAAGTTAGGGAAATGATCTACTGTGTTATTATTGGGGGGGGGCGGTTGGGACAAGGTTTCTCTGTGTAACCTTGGCCATCCTGGAACTTACCCTGTAGACCAGGCTGGTCTGGAACTCACAGAGATTTGCCTGCCTCTGCCTCCTGAGTGCTGGAATTAAAGGTGTGTGCCATTACCTCCTGGATTTACTGTATTAAATTTTGTAATGCAAAGCACAACTATAAGCCTGTGCAGTTTTTTTTTTAACCACACTCTAGAAAAAACAAAATAATACTTAACCCAAATAACCAACACATTAATCAACGTTGATGTTTTGTTTTGTGATGTTTGAATCAGGGTCCTAGGCTGATCTTGACTTTCTGCCTCAGCCTATTGCTGGAATTACAGTACTGCACCACCACACTCCACTTGTAAATGATTGTGATGTACTTTGTTCACTTTTTTTTCCTATAATAACCCTTCAAAATCTGGTGCATATTTTATACTCACATCTCATTTGGATTAACTATATTTCAGGTGGTTTCATGTGGCTCTTGACAAATATTCCAGCTAGCACAGATCTCTGCTATTTATTAGTCACAAGTGTGGTTTTGGAGAGAGCAGTCTGAATTCATAGCGGTGTGAGATGTTCTTGCTCTTAGCTACAAATAGGTTCATCCTTGTCAGCAGAGATGAGCTGCTTAAGCAATGTTAGGAACTATAAAGTAGGGAAGTACTAATTAGACATTAGTTATAAAGCTCTAAAACAACTCTACATTATCCCGACAGCTCACCCGAGTAATGTTTGAATGTAACAAAGATAAGCCTAGAATACAAAAGCTTTTATAAAAACTATTTTCACCTTTGAATTTTGAATATCACATTCTGATACAGTGTTTGAGATAATGAAATGATACTTGATATGGCTGGCCCCTTCTCTCTCTACAAACCAGTGTAATTGCCAATATGAACTACACTTGGTAACATCTGGACGATATTGTTAGAATGTTTGTCTGACGCTCACCTGTTCCCAGCACTCTGCCCCATGTTTAATCTTCATGGCAGCTCACAGTGTCATTCTCTCTCTTTTCCAGCCTTCATCTCGAAATTCTGCCTCAGCAACGACACCTCTAAGTGGAAACTCATCCAGACGGGGCAGTGGGGACACGAGCAGCTTAATAGACCCAGACACCTCATTAAGTGAACTTCGGGTAACCCACAGTTTGTCTGCCTTGCAAAGCAGCTTTGGATTTTCTGTAGTTCATGGAGCCTTTAACACTTCATGTGACTTATGATGAACAATACAGGGTTTCTGTAAGACATGGCTATCACAGCTTAAATCCCACTTGGATGTTTCAGGGCGGAAAGGAAGGGAATCAGATCATTCTTTTTTCAGTTATCTTTTCTGAAGATTTGATGGCATTGCAATGGATTCTGCCAATGACAAACCGTTATACATTTGGAAGTAATTCCTTAAGAATGTCCTTGCCATGTTTTAATTGGAAAATATTTGGATTTACAAAGAATAAGTAGACTATGGGAATTATTATCCTTTTGAGCCATTATCATATTACACAGTATTTCATAGTAAAGTATAATATTTGGACAACAGAAATACTCAGGTAGTAGAAAGTTTACTTGATCCATTAGTTGTGTCTTCATTTTTACTAGCCCTTTTTTTTGAGAAAAACTCTGCACTCACTCACTCACTCACCCACCCACTCTCCTTTGGCAGTGGATATGTAGATATCCAATCGGATTCTGGCCTTCAGGAGATCACCATTCACTGAAAAGACAAACTGATTTGAACCACTTAAGCCAGCTAATAGTGTACAGTGGTACCAAGAACAGGATAAGTTAGTTCAGAAAGGCATCATGTAAATTGGGCCAGTAACAGGGAAAGCAAAAAGCTTTTCAGAGACACATGCTCAGAGCTAAGTCTTGAAGGAAGAATAAAGTAAAGCAAGGAAGCTGGAGGGAGACCTTGAAGGTTGTGCTGGAGCTCAGGATAACAAAGGAGGAGTGTTGCTGGTGAAGAACGCAGGGGGGTGGGGTGAGGTAGGTGCAGGTGGGATAGGGGTACGGGGGTACAAATGACAACTGTGCTGTATTGGATAGGTAAGATGCATGGTTTGATTTGCATTCTTAAAAGTAACTCTTGCCACAGTCCTGAGGGAGCATTAGCTGGCAGGAGATAAGTAACCCAGGGTTGGACAGTGAGGACACAGGGGAGAAGATGTGAGCAGCTGGCCCAGAAGTGAGTGTGCAATGCTAAGATTAGGATGGGCATTACTCAAGAGAGAGGGAAGATCAAACAGGTATCTGCCTTTTGCCCCTTTCCTTTTCTTTTTGTAAAGGGGAGCTTGCTCGTGTTAATGCGGATTGTCCTGAGCAGGTGGAAAGAGAGGCTGAGAGCTGAGTGAGAGGAGAGGACAGCTGACAGCAGCATCTGAGCTAAGAGGACAGTGAGCACGCCTGTGGCCATGCCTTCCCACTGTCACCTAGCAGAGGAGCTCCATCGTGGACTGGGGCAGGTGCCTGTCGTCACTGTGCAGGGCAGCAGAAAGTGAGGAGCTGTGGAAGAGCAGCAGGGAGGAGAGTTGATGGGTAGTGCAGCTATGCCTTGGGAGGGTTAGCGTTCTGAACTCTATTGCCCAGGCATAAATACTGGGGACCCAGTGTTTGGATAAGGAAAAGTCTGGCCTTTAGGGGCTGCATTCTCATGAGACAGAAGGACACTGAGACAGCTTCTTCCAGTATTGAACTTAGGTAGCTCCTATCATGGTGTTTAGCATTTGTTTAGTTCCCCCCATCCCCAAAATAACATGTGAGGTGAGATGAGCTTTTGGGTCCTAGTGTCTGACTCCCAATGGCCCTCTAGGAAAATGTCTGCTGAATGAATCAGTGAGTGCAAGGCTGGCCAACCTATCACAGAGGGAATGGGGTAGGCAGGGAGAGCACAGAGTGAGATGGTCTCCTTTGTTGCCTTTGCTGCACTCAGAGTCCTGCTGCAGTTACAGCCCACCTTGACTTTACATGACATGATTGGACACAATATTTTCCATTTAAAAGCTGGTCCTTTTTAAAAGAATTTATGGAAACATTTGAAGCAAATGCTCTTCTCATCCCTTGAAGATATCCTCCAAATAGAATCTATTATTGGAAATTGTTTTCATTGTATTTAATTTCCTCCTTTTTCCCAAATTAATGTGCTCAGTAACTAAGTGATTTAAAAGTAACTTAGTTTTTATACTGTATTACATTTTTTGAAATTTGTGCATGAAGAATAAAATTTGCTTCCAGTTAATTTACTTCGTATTTTACTAGTTGCAAATGAAGTATTATACTAAGAAATATTTGTGAAATTAAACTTTTATTTTCAAACATTATAACCTATATACATCTTACTATATCTATATCTATCTACATATATATTCTTGCTCCCATTTTCTAATGCTATTTCCAAAGAATTCAGTGCCAAGAAAGTATTGATACTGGATTGATTTCTCTGGCTCACTGTTTGAGAGTGGAGGGTATTTGAATTTTTATATTTGGATTTCTCCAGTTTTAGTTGAACTAAATTGTGTCTTCATCCGATTCCTCTGAGTTTTGAGATATATTTTTGCGGCGGTTCCTTCCTATGTCCTGCAGGACATCTATGACCTGAAGGACCAGATACATGATGTAGAAGGGAGATACATGCAGGGGCTTAAGGAACTGAAGGTACAGGGCTCCTCATAGCCCATGCATGCTCTGTACGCAGAAGTGTTGATAATGGTCCCAAAGTCCATTAACGTGCTGCTCATAGCTTTACTAACAGTGTTTGTCCTTGAAGCATGTGCTTAACCTGCAGTGTACAAGACAGGGAAGCTTGCAGTCTGGGCTTATGTGCAATGTTTAGTGTGGGTTTGGGGGAAATCTGAGCAGAAGATAATCTGACTTGTACTTTTATTATTCTGAGATAGGGACTCTCTGTGTAGTTCAGGCTGTGGTTCTCTTGCTTTGGCCTCAATGCTGGGATTCTGAGTGTGTGCTGCCTCAGCCAGCTCCTTATAATTTTTGCGACTTGTTAAATATTTAGTTGTCTCTTGGGTCTTAACCACAGAAACTTATAACAATACCTAAAAATATTCTAAGGGTATTTTTTATTGAGAACTAGACCTTGAAATTCTTTCCAGTTCAATGAAAACATTGCCTGATTCTGTCCCCAAGTCCAGCCAATCTTAGAAGTGGAGGGAGGAAGCCATATTATGTCCCTTTGGGAAGAGGGAACATGAAGCATGCATCCCGATTCTCTTTCTAGCTGTATGTAAATTAAGATGACTCATGTTTAGTGTCTTAAAGACTTCAGAGCTGGCAAGGTGGCTCAGTGAGTAAAGCAGCTCACCACCAAGCCTGATGTCCTGAGTGGGACCCCTGGAACCCACAGGTGGAAGGAGAAAACTGGCACCTGCAATTATCCTCTGACCTCCACATATGTGTCCTGGCATTTGTGTGTGTGCATATGCACACACATGTATCAATAAAAACGTAATTTAAAATTCTTAAGAGATCTGGTCTTTAAAAAAAATAATTTGGAAGTCAATTTGAATGACCTTTATCTATTTCCAGCAAGGATGTCTGTACATGCCAGTGTAAATGTTTCAGGCAGACATCTGGTTGTAATGTCTGGTATTTGGTTATGCCCCTCTTCCCACATTTCAATATAAAGTTCAAGCTGGATATTGTAAAGAAGCTAAAGGTTTCTTTAAATATGACAGGCTTAAGATCCAAACACCAGCAAGTCTCTAGAAGAGTGAATGCAAGGCACTCCAAAAGGTGAATCAGCACACGCCACATGCAAACAGGCTCATGAGCAAGATTTCCTGATTCCTCCCTGTCATGATCTGAATTAATTCTACTGCCAATCAATCCTGTATGTTAGGTCCATATATACTTAATGTCTTATACAACAGCACATCCAGATAGCAATCAAGTGAGTCAGAGGAATTCCTAACTGCCTTTTGCCATTTCATTTAAAACATTTTCTTCATATTTTATATCATGTATATTATATCATATATATTAACTTCACTGAATAAAAAATACCAACTAATTTGATTTGCAATTTGAACAGGTAAGATGCCATCTCTTAATTATCTTTTTTTGGTTTTTCGAGACAAGGTTTCTCTGTGTAGCTTTGGTGCCTGTCCCGGAACTCGCTCTGTAGATCAAGGCTGGCTTTGAACTCACAGAGATCTGCCTGCCTCTGTCTCCTGAGTGCTGGGATTAAAAGCGTGTACCACCACTTCCTGGCACCCTCTCTTAATTCTTATCAGTGTTACTGAACTTGAATTTAGATTTCTATTTATCCTTGGAATGATTCATTTAATTGGAAAAAAATTGTAACAAAAATGTATCTGGTTGTTGATTGGCATGTCTTATTAAGAAGGAGTGTTGCTTCACTACTTATGACATTGTTCATGATTATTACGATTACTTTTGGAGTGTTTTCCCTAGACTCCCTGCCACCTTTCCTTTAATAAGGAGTGTTACAATGTTTTCCTCATGCCATAGAGTATCCTGATAGTACCTACTATTGCTTAGAAAATATAGTAATAGTATTAAAAAGCATAAGTGATCTAAAAGATCAATGAACTTTCTCTGGGCACCAGTAGTGTATCTGATCTACTCACCTCAGATAGGACACTAGAGTGATGTTTCTCCTCCAGCCTAGCTTGGTGAGCTGGTGAGTTTCTGGGACTTGCTTACAGGAGCATAGGTGACCCCTGAGACAGTTGTAGCACCGAAGTCACCCCATCAGGGATTTAGGCTTCCCCAAAGCTGCAGATGCCTCCCTCCAGTTCGGTTCCCACAATCTGTATACCCCTGCATCTTCCTAGGTTATATGCATCTGGGGCAGAAGTATATTCCACTGGCAGGGAGGTGCAGAGGGGAGGGAATGGCTGGGAATTTTAGTGAGGATCTAAATGATCTCTCCACCTTTTCTTACGAGAGAATGTCAAAGGTGCTAGAGTTACCTAGGTGCTAGGAACTAAACTCAGAGCAGTATTCCCTCTTAACCACTGAGCCATCTTTCTAGCCAAAACAGGCCCAATCTGCTGTGGTTAATTTCAACTACGCTGATTAAATGCTAATGGCAATTACACAGGAGGATGGTGTTTCACAACAATTACTGTCTGACCAACCTGCAGCCCCTGTGTTGTTCTCATGTGTAAGATGGAGAGGACTGGAAACAGTATGTGCCCTGATGGTGGACTTACCTACTCAGTGCATTGTCTGTAGTAAGGCAATGTGAATACGTGGTTCTTTTTATTGATTGATTTCGTTTGACTGTCTAGACAGTGTTCTTCTGTTCATACCTTTTATTTGTAGGAGAGTAGGAACAGGTCATCTCTTTAAGCTCAGAAAGAACTGTTGAATGAAGAGTTAATGGACTAGGAGGAGTCTTATCAGCTATTAGTTGCATAGTATATGAAGTATTCACTTTATGCATGAACTAAGAATAAAATGAAGGTACTGAGTTCAGGTACTTCCCAAGCTAGTAGAGGGCTTCACAAAATCACCTGAAGCTACTTACAATAGGAATCAGTGTCTCTACCTCCAGATTTGATATTCAGTGGATCTGAGATGGGTTGAAAATTTGTGTTTTCATAAAAACTGCCTCAAAAATATAAGATTAAGATATTTTTCCATCTTGGCTTTTGAAAAGTCTCTCTTAAAAACATTTATTTTTAATTTATATTTGTGTATATGGGTGGTTGCCACAGAGACCAGAAGAGGGCATCAGATCTCTCAGAGCTAGAAACACTGGTAGTTGTGAGCTGCCTGTTAGTAGGTGCCAGGAATCAAACTTGGGTCCTCTGGAAGAACAGGAAGTGTTCTTAACCACTTTTTAAGAGTCTGTGATGATTGGGCAGTGGTGGCTCAGGCCTTTAATCCCAGCACTTGGGAGGCAGAGGCAGGCAGATCTCTGAGTTCAAGGCCAGCCTGATCTACAGAGCAAGTTCCAGGACAGGCTCCAAAGCTACAGAGAAACCCTGTCTCGAAAAGCCAAAAGAAAAAAAGAAAGAAAAAGGGTGTTAATTGCTTTTTACAGGAAAATCATGTTGCACAAAATTTTTTACATGATCCTATGTGTATCATGTATTTTGTCCATGTTTCTAGTTCTTGAGCTATTTTGGATTCTGTTATTCATGAATCACATCCCATTTTATATGCTACTGAACTATAATGAGGACTTTTTTTTCCCTACTGTTAGCTTCTTGGATAAAATTTGGTAATACATGAATAGATATCATTGAATTTGTACCTTCCTATAGTTGAATTTTTAAAATATGGTTTTAGTTAGATGTTTCCAATACTATTTTTAATCATACCTATATTCAGTTCTGGTTTGTGAAGCATAGAATTATTAGATCATGTATCATGAGCTTAGAGTGTTTGACATCTAAGCAACTGTCAAACTGTTTCCTGAGTAGCCACTTCCACAAGCGGTATAAGGAACCCAGCTCCACTGTACTCTCCCTAATCACCCTCTCTTTCAGGGGGAAGGAGCTTGCTACCGATTGTGTGGCTCTTCTACTGAGCATATGTCCTCAGCTCTGTGATGAAAGATTTGGTTATGGATTCTAGACATTTCAGTAGATGAGACATAGGATCACACTGGTTTTAGTGTGCATTCCCTAATAAGTAACGTTGCTGACGTGTATCCATGTACTTCTTGGACATCCATGTGCATTGCCCTCTTTAGGGAATATGCCTATTCATGGTGTCATCGCCCTTAGTTTTGACCCTTTTTGTTGTTGAGTCTGTAATGAGATGGATGCAAGTCGGTTATCAGAACACTTACAAATGCTTTCTCCTGTTCTGAGGATTGCCATTTACAGTGTAAAGTTTTAAATTTTAATAAGGTCGCCTTTTTTTCTCTTTGGCTGATAGTGCTTTTCATATAATTTTTATTTAAGAAACCATTACCTATCCAGAGTCTTGAAGACATCTGTATTTCCTTTAGAGTTTTATGTTTAGCTTCACATTTAGCTCTTTGGTTCATTTTGAGCTAATATTTGTGAGTAGTGTTGGGCAGTCGTTCATCTTCATTCATCAAAAGAATGACGTCATCCCAGCATCATTCATTCTTTTTGTATTATGTGGACACCTTTGTTGAATAACTGATTATATGGAAGGTTCTGGAGTCCTAAGTCTATTAAATGATTTTGGTTTGTTAAACATTTGTACTAGTTAAAAAAAAAAAAAAAAAAAAAGTATCTCTAAAAGTGATTACTTTCTTTTTTAAAGTGATTACTTTTCTAAATGAGTTTTTATTTTTATCTTCACTTACCAAGTTTCTTGTTTTTTAAAAAAAAATGTATATTCTATTTTAGGTAAAAGCTTTTGAATTATATAAAATTCCAGGCACTGTGTGATAGCTCTTAAGTAATTTAACATGTTCATCCCATTTACATTAGCATCATGTACACTGAGGAAATGCTGAAAACAGAAACCCCAAAGTGGCAAAATTCAGAAGTCTGTGGTTGTGCTGAGAGAGACTCTGTGCTCTCAAACGGCTGCATTCCAACCCCAGCCACCTACTTGCTAAGAACTAAGAGAAACTCTTCTGGCAATATTAATGCCTCTACATTTTCTACTTCTTAAAAACACCTTTCCTGCACACCTTTCACTGCTGCTTTACTTTGTGTCGTGTCCTTGGCATCAGTGTCTCTCTTTCCTCTCTCTGCTACTGTGCATGCTACTGAGCAAGGAGTCCCTGGCCTGCTTGTATTATGTGGAGTGATTCTTCATATGTGCTCGGCTGAGCTTTGCTTCTGTGTTGCTCATGTGCAGCCACCATGTTGTAGATATCAAGCTGATGATTTTTGCCATTTAGGAGTCTCTGTCTGAAGTAGAAGAGAAATACAAGAAGGCCATGGTATCCAATGCACAGCTAGACAACGAGAAGAACAACCTGATCTACCAGGTGGACACCCTCAAGGACGTCATTGAAGAGCAGGAGGAGCAGATGGCAGAGTTCTACAGAGAAAATGAAGAAAAGTCAAAGGTAGCTGTTCATCTGTCTACTATGTTCTTGGTTCAGAAAATCAAAGCCTGGTGTTTCAAGAAGATGGGGTTGGCAGGAGGCTGCAAAACTCAGTGGTCTGAGAAATCAGTCACTGCCCTATCAATTAAACTTTATCCTTTTTTTAGGTTTTTAACTAGATTATGACTCAAGTATTATTTTAACTATGACAATGACCTTGAGGTGCTTCTTTCTTTCCATTATAAGTAAAATGGTACAGAGCTGAGTGAGATAAATAATTTTTTTTTTCTGTGAGCTTCTGAATTCTTCAAGAGATTGCACTTTCCAAATAACCAGTTAATTGGAAGCAGCGGTTTAAATATGTGAGTCAGAAATTGACAGATGCTTTCTTAACAAGTTACATACAGTTGGGGCCACTGTCTAAGTGCCAGATTTGCCCTTGGGCAGATGCAGCAAAGAAACTGGGTTGTATTAAGAGTTTATTGTCTAAGCAGAAAATAAATGGATATTATCTCCAGAGATTGGTCACTGCTATATTGCCAATATAGAAAAAAAGTAAGAAGACAATTTAGGAAATATGTACTGACTGAGTTGCAAATAGTCATCTGAATTGTACATAGAAAAGGGGACAACAAGTTGAATAGTGTTTGATGAACTTCCATGGTAGTGGTGTCCAGTGTAGGCTCATTGATTGAACTGAATTTACTGCTCAGGTGTGGACGTTAGTGACATATAGAAGAGATTGCAATTATGGGGACAGGAGAGATATGTGAACTGAAGTTTCCTCTCAGTTTTTCCGTGAAACTACGGTTATTCTTTAAAGGCCTTATTTGAAAATGCTGCTAGGGTCTAGCTGTGTGAAAATAAGCATCCTTCATGTTAGCTCAGTGATGGTCCTTGAAGAGGATGCTTTGGAGATAGTAAGTGCTTTACTCTTTTGGTATTCTATCCCAGAAACCAGTTTTAAGGATTCTGAATCATCATACTTTCTTATTCTAAACTGATGTTGCCTCTTGGAATACAGAGTGCCCACCCACACAGATGCGCAGATACAGAGGCCAGCTTCTCTGATGTGCTTCACTACGGCAGCAGAGGCTGAGGGCTCTGCACATCTGCATTGTTAAATTGTCACCAGCCCTGCCATCGTGAGCTCAGGACCTGTATGGTGGATGGTGGGCCAAACTCTACAAGTTATATTCTGACCTCCATGTTTTTTTGTTTTTAAATACACAAATAGTAAATGTATTTTTTTAATTTAAAAATGTTTTTAGTTGTTCTTTTATTTTTTTCAATTTTAGGTTTTGGTTTTGTTATTTTGGAGAAAGGGCCTCCTGTACCCAGGCTAGCTTCAAATTTGCTAAGTAGCCAAAGATGATCTTGAGCTCCTGTGCCTCTTGCCACTCAGAGTTCAGGTCTGTACCCCCATACCCAGCTTAGTAGCTCTGTCTTTAAACATGCCACCATGCCTGTGTCAGCAGCAGAGTACCTGACTGGGAATGTGTGGAATGTATTCTCAGGGCTGGGGACATAGCTCAGCTGATAATTGTCTGGATACAGCAGCAGTGGAGGCATGGCAGCATAAGTCTGTGACCACAGTGCTATGGAGTCACAGGTGAGTGCATCTCTACGGCCTGCTGGCCAACCAGCCTGATGGGATGCACCAGCTTCAAGTTCTTTAAGAGACTTGTCTCAACAATAAGATGGATACCAACTGAGAAAGAACCTGACATTAACCCATGGTCCTCCACATACACATGCCATTCATACACGTACACCCCACAAACATACAAAAGTATTATTTTCTTAATACTTATTTAAATAAGGAACTGGCTTACTAACATTTAAACATATGTTACTACTCGCTGGTTAAGCATACTTGTTCTTCAAGGGGACCCAAGTTTAATTCCCAGCACCGCCATGAGGTAGCTCACAACCACTTCAGTTCCAGGAGATCTGACACACACTTCTGACCCTGTATATACTGGCATGTGCTACACATGCATGCATGCAGATATTCACACATACACATAAAATAAAAACAAGTCTTTAAAATTTGACTTTAAACACGGAAGAAGTATGTGGAGACACTTAAGGAGTCCATCAGCTTCCCATTGCTACTGTCAGCCCATAGTTAGCCCGCTCTGTCCTTTTCCTCCACTCTATAGTAAATTCTAGGCATCTAATTTTAGTAATTAATCTTGACAGACTACATGTTCTCCCCTGTAGAAAATGCAAAAAACAAAACACAAAAACATTTCAGGGGCTTGAGATAAAACACTTGTCATACAAACTTGAAGATAGGGGTTTGGGTTCCCAGCTACCATATAAATAGCAGGAGAACAGGGCAGCCCTCCTGTAATTCTGGGAGGCAGAGACAGGAGAACTGGGTTTAACCAGAGAAAGAATGAATACCTGACATCCACTTCAGCCTCCACATACACTTACACATCTGACACCCATGGACATGTGTTTGCACACACATGCATACATACACACAAGACCAGTTCATACTTGAAAAATTGATATCAATTGATATCAATTTTATATTACATACCCAGGCACTGTTAAAATTTTACTAGTTTGAAAATTTCAAGCACAATTTTCCTTTTTTTTATACTTTGAAAGAAATCAGAAGCTAGCTATGGCTGTGCACACTTGTAATCCTAGCACTTCAGAATCTGAGGCAGGAGGATCATGACTTTATGGCTAGCCTGGGTTACACTGAGAACCTTTCTCAAAACGAAACAGAAACTGGGTATGGCGGCATACATCTTTAACCCAGTACTGGGGAAGCTGAGTCAAGAGGGTATTTGTGAGTTTAGGCCAGCCTAGTCTATTAGTAAGTGCCAGGTCAGCCAGAGCTGTACAGTGAGACCCTGAGACTTTGTGTCATACCCACCCTACCCCAGTCAACCCTCTCTCAGCCACACCCTCCCAGGATCCAGAGAAATTCCTTACTTTGTAATTAGTTGCTTCCCCCCACTCCCTCCCCCATACAGTTTGGATACTGAGGAATTGTGATTGTCTGTCCCAAGAGCTTGCTGTTCTGACAGACTTTGCCTTCTCATTCCTATGGTGTCTTTCCTGGGCCTCCTGCCCTCTTTAGTTCCTGGGAGCAGGCTGTCAGGTATGGAGATGTTACCAAATGTAACTGGAACCTTTTTGGCAAGTCAGCTCTAGGAGGAGTGTGGTTCTTCTTACAGAGCCCAGCTAGCTGGCTGTCTTCTTATACTATAGCTGGATGCTTAGATCCAGTTCCAGGGGATATGATGCCCTCTTCTGGCCTCCACAGGCGCCAAGCAAGTGATGCACAGACATACACGCAGGCAAACACCCATACATATAAAATAAAAAAATAAATAAAAATGATTCAGTTTATATACAACTTCCCATTGAAAGTCAATGATTCAGTGGATAGTATATTCACATACATGTGCATCCATCACACCCACACAGAGTATTTTCATTCTCTCAAGTAGGAGCTGAATGCTCTATAACCGTCATTTTCCTCTGCTGATCCCCTGGCCCCAACTAACCATGGCCTTGTTCATATCTATATAGATTTCCTCATTCTGGACTTTGATATCAACAAACCACAAAAGGAACTCTTTCATGATTGTCATCTTACACCTAGTGTAGTAATCCCCAGTCACCCATGTTGTAGCACACTTAAGTGTAGCCACATGTGTTGGGAGGTCCAGCAGCATTAATTAATATTTAGGTTGGTTTTCCCATTGGCCTTTTATGAAAAACGCTGACATAAACAGTGTGTAGTTTTTGTGTGGACACTGTTTTCCTTTGTCTAAATACTTAGGAGTGGGGTGTTGGGTGCCCTGGCAACTGGACAAACTGAGTGAGGCATAGCAGACGTTCCAAAGCAGAGACAGCATTCCGGCCCATTTCACTGTGTACATTCTCCATCCACATCCTCTCCACTATTTACTGGTGTCTGGCCTGGGTTGAGCCGTCCTAGTGGGTGTGCCTTCGATTCACATTTTTCTGATGAAACTACTGGTTTTAAGTATCTTTTCATGGGTTAAAGTTTACCTTTCGAAATCGCTCATTTTTCAATTTTTATTACTGTTATAAGACTATATCTCAGATATCAGTCACTTACTGAATAAATGATTTATAGATATCCTCAGCTATTTGTTTCTTTTAACTTACTGTTCTTTATTACCTTACAGCCATTCTTTTTTCTTTTTATCATGTTCATCTTTTATTACCCAGACAGACAACTGGCGTAGTTTTGGAAGTCACGCTAAAAACTCTGTTGCCTTTATAGTTTCACAATGAGGAGTTGTTATGCCCTCACAGTGACTAGTCGTCTTCTTTAAAAGTCTCTTTATGAAGTTGAGTTCAGTGTTGTGTTGCAGCTTTTGTTTCTTTTAATGCTCAGATTCGCCATTGTGAGCTTCCTTGGGCTGATTCTCAAGTTCCCTGGAAAGCTCGCTGATAGATAGACAGCCTCCATGCTTTCTGACAGAAGAGCATGTTTTAGCCTTTGTCCAAGCAGGCCAGGGGCTGCTCCTGCTGCTCAGCCGATCCCTTCATAGGCACCTTAGTGGAAATGTGTGTGGGGGCTTTTTTGTTTGTTTATATGACAAAATACATTATGCTGTGACGGTTCATGTTTATATTTATGACTCTAGGGATTGCACTCAGTCCCTCTATTCTCCGTCTTTGTGCTACCCTGCAGCTCCTGATTCTTGCTGCTTCATTCCACGTCACTCAGCAGAGCAAGACCAGGTCGCACTGCTGTCGATACTGCAAGTAGTCATAGTGTTTGGTTGGCTTGGCCTTTACTCTGGGGCAGAGGCTATACATAGCCAAAATACTAGTTTTTATTATGGTAAAAAACACACCACAATACATTTACTGTTCATTTTAAAGGGTGTAGCTCACAGTAGGATGTTATATATGTTTTACTGTTGTATGTGGAATTTTACCTTGCAAAAGTAATCTCTAACCAGTTAAGTAAATAGGGACATTTGGCCCTTTCCCAAGCCCTTGGCAGCCGCCATCCTGCCTTCTTCAGTATGTGACAGCCTTGTAATACTTAGCTTGTCGTCCCCAGTGCTCATGATAGGAGTTCCTCCTTTCAGAGGGCTGAACACGGTTCCCCTCCCTTCCTCGTCTGCCAGGCACTTGGGCTGTTTCTACTAGAAACTGTGCTTTAAATTGAACTCTAGCTTGCCTTATGTAAACATAAGTAGGTCTGAAGTCAAAGGAACCGAGTTCAAAGTTTATCTTCTCATCCTCATTTTCCCCTTTCTTTGGAGGAATTCTTTTATTTCTATGGTTTTAAAGATTCACTCCTTATATTTTGTGTATGTACGTATACCACATGCATACCTGGTGCTTGTGTAGAGGTCAGAAGAAGGAACTGGATTTCCTGGAACTAGAGTTAAAAATGGCTGTGAACCTCCATGTTGGTGCCGGGAATGAAACTCAGGTCCTGTGCAAGAGCAGCCAACACTCTTACCCATTTGAGTGATCTCTCCAACCCTGGGAAATTCTTAAGTTTAGTGATTCATCTTTTCTTTTTATAAGCCAAGAAGATATGTTAGTCAATTTTGATTAAAAAGACATACGTATAGCATTTAAAATACATGTAAACACACACATCTGTGGCCCTCCTTTCTTAGAAAATGGCAGCCCACTCTAGGTGCTATTTGTGCTTGCAGCACACAGATCTGCACTCCTATCCATGCTCTGGTTATTTATTGGCAGACACTTTACTTCACCAGCTCTCGATTCACGGACATCCAGAAGTCATCCTGTAAAGAAAACCAAGCTGCTGGGGTCTTTCTGTGCTTTTACTAGAGTGTCTGTGATAGGGAGCCATGGCGGGTGGATCCACGGGATCCTCTTTTGTAAGCTGTGTGTGATGACCCCTTGTCACATGACCTACTATGTGTTTCTCTCCCTTGAGCATGTTTCATATTGCAGCTGTTCCCTTCTCCTTTCCTGGGCTTTAGCCTGGCTGTCCATGTTGTCAGTGCTGGGAGTTCTCCAAATGGATACATAGTAATATATCTTTGTCTTTGAACACAAATTGTAATTTCTTGTGTAGCTTGTTTCTTTGTGGTAGCTTTTGCTATTCTAAAAATTTTAATTTTTATGTAGTCTCTTGTCCTACTTACCCTTTATTGTGTTTATATTTGGAATAATTTAAAATAGTTGCTTCTACAGTTGCTCATTTTTAAAAAGTACCTACATTTTGCTGTCCCTTCTGTTGTATTTCTTACTTTCATCATGGAGGATGGAGATGAAAGTCTGACCCATCTCACCAAACTCAAGTGATCTATCCAGGCACGAGTCTGGATGTTAGACTTGGCCTCTGTGCTAAATTACATATGTTCAGCTTTGTATCCCATGACTTCTGTAACAATAACATTCGCTTAATAACAGGCGTTAGAAAGACAGAAACATATGTGCAGTGTGCTGCAGCATAAAATGGATGAACTCAAAGAAGGCCTTCGGCAGAGAGATGAGCTTATTGAGGTATGTACTTGAACTGTGGAAATAATTGATTTTGTAAACTAGATGAGTTGGATAGCATGGTGGTGTGCTTGTTGGGAGAATGTTAGAATGCTATAAAGCAGTGGTTCTCGACGTTCCTAATGCTGTGACCCTTTAATATAGTTCCTCATGTTGTGGTGACCCCCCACCATGAAATTATTTCTTTGCTACTTCATAACTGTAATTTGCTACTGTTATGAATTAATATAAGTATCTGTTCTTTCTGATGGTCTTAGGTGACCCCCGTGAAAGGGTTGCTTAACCCCCAAAGGGGTTGCAACTAACAGGTTAAGAATTGCTGCTATAGAGTTTACTTGTGTAAACATTTCTCTCTCTCAAAAAATTTCCAACATGAAATATAAAGGCAAGCTTAAAAAGTAAATGCTTACAAATTCTACAACCACCACCCCCATTTAATAGGATTTTTGGCCAGTGTCTTTTATTCTTAAGTACTTTCCCAAAGATGTCACAGGAAGTTAGAGAAGAAGCATTATAGAATATACCCTTTGGGTACTATGCATGGCATGCTATAGGACATGATTCTTGAGGAGTAAGAGTTTTGATCTTCAATCAAGTTGATGCATTTGAGTAGTTGAAGAAAGGGAGGAAGTTGTCAAGATTTTCACCTTACACTGCAGGCATCAGCTCTCTGTGGTAGAGGAGCCTTGTGCCACCCTAAGGCAGCATTGCAGTGCCGAGGAGGGTGATCTACAGCAGTCCAGAGCATCCGTGCACCGCCCTGCCCTGGTTAACTGTCTCCGGGTTTATTAGGAATTACATGGGAGAGCATAGTAAGACTGTATTTCTGTAATTTATCATTGTGTTTTCTTGAAAAACAAGCCCAGAATGCTTGATACAAACTTGTAAAGTCTTAGTCTTTGTATGTTTACAATTTCTGTCTTTTGGACGTCAGTAGCTATTGATCATGAACTACTGAAAACTGAGTCTGTCACATATAATGAATGCCTTTGGGTCTCCAGAATTAACATTTGCACAATCAAGTAGAGACTGTGTGAGTAGGAAAGTGTTGCTGGTGATTTCTCAGTGAGAAATAGGGAAAACATGGTGAGAGGCCTTGGATAAGCACTTGCTCTGGTTGCCCTTACTCTTGCTGTGATAACACCTATAGCCAAAAGCAAGTTAGGTGGGGGTGGGGGGTGGATTTATTTCCCTTCTTTTTTCAGGTCAGTCTATCATTGAGGGAAGTCGGGGCAGGAACCCGAAGACAGGAAAGTCTGTTATTCCACACAGTGTCATCTTCAACTGGGAACTCACTCACAACCAAGGAAGACACCTTCCTACATGCTAGTTAGCTAGTTCACTGGTTGGCTGAAGCTTACACTGCTTATAAAGCTTCCTTATACAGCCCAGGATCATCTGTCCAGCCAGTGGTAGAGTGGGCTAGGCTTCTCACATCAATTAGCAATCAAGACAGTCATTCACCTGAGACTCCCTACCCCAGGGGATTCTAGGCTCTCGTGTGTGTGTGTGTGTGTGTGTGTGTGTGTGTGTGTGTGTGTGTGTGTGTGTGTGTGTGTGTGTGTGTGGCGGGGGTGGTGGTAGTGGTGGTGTAGCTGGGACATATTCTTGATATTTCAGTTTTTGCCAACAGAAAATCAGTGTGATAAAGCTGAAGATGTCTGTCCTTCTTTTTAGTGCTCCTTTACCAATATTCACATCTTCAGTTTGCTGTGTGTGGATCATTTGTTCATAAGCAAACACAAGTTTCCCTCGGCAGATACAAGTTCCATGTTTGGGTAGAAAAGCAGTTATCACGGGATGAATACAACACACAGGAGTGCTGTGTGTACACTGAAACGCAGACTGGCCAGCTGCCTCTGAGCTGCTGTTGCACTAGTTAGGTTTTCCCAGTACCCTTTTGGACATCTGCCCTGCCCTTTCCTTGTGCTGGAGATTGGACCCAGGGCCCATGCACACTCAGCACACTCTTAGCTGCAATCCACTGTCCTCCCTCCCTTACTGTGGGGCCAGCCAGTGAGGCACCGGTCATCTTTCCCTGCTCTGTCGACCTAGACTTCCCTCCTCCCTTTAAAGTTCATCTGCCTCCCTTTTGTTCTGTTTTCCTTCTTCTAATGCCCTTGTTTTTTCTTTCTGCTTGTATTATTTCCCTCCCCCTTCTTCTTCTTTAGGAGAATCAGCGCCTGCAGCAGAAAATAGATACCATAACAAAAGAGGTGTTTGACCTCCAAGAGACCCTGCTTTGGAAAGATAAAACAATTGGGGTATGAGAGGAGATGGGGCTTTGGAGAAGTTCATTCCTGAGGAATAGACCAAGCAAATTTAGACAATATGAATAAACAGAAACCCTGATAATGTGCTCAGAGAATTCTCTTTCCAGTCTCCATGCTTGTGAAGCCCAAAAAATGAAACCTTTAAAAAAGTGTTATTCCCCAAGGATTCCTATCTCAGAGAAACCACAGGCATCTAATTCAAATTCTGTGGGTAGCTGGCTATGTTTACATTCCAGAAGTATGGATCAAAGAAGTTGGAGGTGGAGATGGGGAAAATGTTATCTCGTAAATTGTTAGTGAATAAAGTAGGAAGAGATTACAAATCAGTTTAATTTTGGAAATGAATAGGAATGTAAGATGCAGGGTTGCCAAAGTATGACACCATCTCTAATTATCCATCTCTAATTATAACCCAGCCCTCCCCAGCGTGGGGCCTGGTAAGGAAAATGCCTTAGCTGCTGCTGTGTTTAGCTCTGCAGGTACACTCCAAGCATGCCGCAGGGTAGCAAAACTAGTCACATCCCTGTTCCATAGGGCCGAGATTTAAAGAACAAAAGGGACTTTTAGATAATTTTCTGAAGCTTAAGTTACCAAATTTCCAAAATTCCATCAAAACTAGAAAATCTTCCCAGGGGACATTGCAATTGTAAATTACTTAATTTATACACGTTTTTCCTTGGGAACCTGAAGTGCTATGGGGAAGTGGGTGCACAGAGGAGGTTGTGGAGGAAAAGTTCAAAATGTACACACGGTCTGGGATGGCCATCTTATGAGTCAGGATGCCTGGGGCTTCTCATTTGTATGGCTTTCTTAGCATTTAAACTGATTATGTTGAACTAGCTGATTACCTAGAGTAAAACTACACACACCCATAAAGTAGCTCATTAAAACTGACCTTGGCTTTCCTACTAAAAAGACATACTAGTGCTGGCTATAGTGGCACATGCCTTTGATCCCAGAACTTGGAGGAAGAGGCAGATAGGTGGATCTTGTGAGTTCTAGGCTAACCTGGCCTGTGTATTGACAGTGTAACCTGTCAAAAAGAAAGAAATGTATCAATGTACATGTTGATGGCTAAAATATAGATTATTTGGCTTTTAATTGCCTGAGGATTTATTGAATTTTTCTGTAAGATGTAATTAACTTTCCAAGAGTAAATTTTTCCGAACTGCCTAGATAGCTCAGTGGGGTACAGTGCTTGCCTTACAAGTATGATGCTCTGACTTTGATATTCAGAGCCCACCTACAGGTGGGAGGAGAGGAAAGACTCCACAAAGTGGTCCTCTAGCTCTACTGTGGGTGTGCCCATGCACACACCATGCACATAATAATAAGTACTTCTTTTTGAAAGATACATCTCACATACAAATGTAAGAAATGATAGCAATACATGTCCACATACCTTTTGCTGGAAAATGTCACATCTTACAATGCTGTAGTTCAGTATTACAGCCAGGGCATGTCTGTGCTACAGTGACCATAAAGGCACTTCCATCTCTCCTTTTTATTGATGCCCTTCTACTCCTTGCTGCTTGCAGTCCTTTGAGGTACTCAGTGTAGAGTAGTACATATAAAAGGGCCTGAGCTCTAGGCCAGCTCAGCATCAGTTAATTCTCATTTTCAATAACTGCAGTTATTTAACCCCTTTGCCTAGCATTTTAGCCTGTTCCATATCTCTATGTGGCTTTTTGATGCTAAAATGAGAAGTTACATCTTTGACAAAGAATTACTTAGATCTCTGCCAAGATGTACTTCTTACTCTTTGGAGATCTGCCGCGCGACAACTGCTGCCAGCAGCGCAGGGCAGTGGCGATGTGGCAGGCAATACAGAGGATTTCAGATCTAGAACAAATATGTTTGACCCAATTAGAAGGTATTTCAGTAGCTTTCAGGCTTTGTGGTAAAGTGAACAAATACAAAGGATATATTTTGTTTTCCTATCTGTAATTACAGGAAGATGAAAATTTAAAATCTAAAAGTAAAACAAGAGCCCAGTACTGTAATTGTGGAAGGATGCACAAGAGCCATGTACTAGTGTTTGCTAGAATTCTTAACTTGAGATTGGTCTACTCCTGAGAGGTCTTTTGTATTCAGTGTATTGTGAAAGAGACCATGTCATGTCTCTTCATGTCATGATTACAACACAACTGCATGCCATGCTTTTGTAACACACCTCTAACCGGTGGTGCAGGCGACTGGCGTGTTCCTAACACACATCTAACCCACATGGTTTAGGACAGGAAATATTCTTGTCCTGGTGTTGCATTTGTGTTAAGGTGGTTTACCCCAGCCACCAGTGTTAAAGGCTTCAGAATCTAGACTCTCGAGTCACTCACTTTCCAGGTAACTGGGGATACATAAGATGTGTGGATTTTTGCCACTTATGGAAAGGAAGGTAGGTATTGACATTGCAATGTGAAAATTGAGGAGAGGGCTTGCCTAAGGGATACTCCCCAGCATTATGTGGGATGGTCATGAGGGAGCAGAATGAAGATATAAAACTATACGCAAGGGCCTTCAGAATAAAATGAACTGGTCTCATTTTCTTCCACTGCTGTTTCCTGTAACTGTGGACGGGGATAAAAGTGCATTACCGAGGGCGGGAGGGTGAGCTTCACCAGACCAGTGTCTGCCGTTAGTGCTGCATAGTGGTGGTGCTGGCAGTCCTTTCGTCTTCCCTTTGGTCACAGGATGGGATTAAAATGGTTTTCGTAAGAATTAGTCAGTGCCAGGCATGTCAGCTCATGGAAGACCACAGGAGTTGAAAGTCAACCTTGACTGCGTAGCAAGTTGAAGGCCGGCCTAGGCAATATGAGACCCCTCTGTTTAGTAACAAGGATAGCCACTAAGCACTTTCTAGTCATCAGTAACTAAGTTGACTTACTTTTTGGGTTTAACTTATTGGGCTAATGCTGGATAAAACATTAAATGCAAGAGAAATAAATAGTGGAAGAGTTCGGTAAAAACAGCCAGGTTACTGCCTTTCCCAGATGCTCAGTGTAACTTGCCATGCCCAGTGTGCCTCCTGAGTGGGTGCCACTGTTAGGTCTGAGTGTCAGATGGGTGGCTTCTGATATGTCAAGTCCCTACAGCTAGATTTGAAACTCCTTACCCATTACCCAGCTGGCTCGTGTTCGATTTGTGTTTTCTCATTTTTAACTAAATTTTATCAGAAAGCCAGTTACCATGGTAGGTGGTTGGAGCTGAGCTGTCTTGAGCCAAGTGGTAGCTGAGTACCTTGCTAACACTGGAGAACAAGCAGACAGCCAGCATTTACATAACTTATCCAGACTTGCTGTTCTTCCCAAACATCTTTATTCTTAAATCAAACATATTCTCAACTAAACTGCTTTTGTTAAGGTGAAATGAAATGTGTTGGGTTTGTTGTTGTTCACCAAATGAAAATGCCCTGAGGAAGTCAGGCAGGGAAGTTCTGTGTGTAAAGATGGTTTTCACATGATGAGTGTCTTGCCAAGTTCACGCATGAGCGCTCCTCTGTTTAAGCCTTCTGCAGCTGTGCACACTGGCTGCTGCTTCCTTCTCCTGGCTGCTGTTTCCACACTTCTAACACTCTGCTTGGAGGCCTTACCTGCTTATTGGAGTAGTCACCTTTCTCTTGCTTTCTTTCTATGCTGTTCTTTCCCTTGCTACCCTGCCTAAAACCAGGCCCTAGAGAAACAGAAAGAACACATTACCTGCCTCAGGAGTGAGCGAGATGTGCTCAGGGAGGAGCTGGCTGACCTGCAGAAGACAGTGAAGACAGCAGAGGTATGTCAGCCTGGGCCTTCTTCCCCTGCTCCTGCCGTATTTCTTTCCTGGCCATAAACAACAGCCTCGATATGATGGTGGATTGAGTTATTTCCTCCACAGAGGTATATCATATAACTAATTCTAACGAATTTTTACCCATGGCAAACACTGTTGCAGAGATGCCTCAACAGAACTTACAATTTCTGTATGGGTCACTGCTTGTAACAGCAAGTTTTTTTTTTTTTTTTCTTTTCTTCCTCATAGAAACATGGCTTAGTTATAATCCCAGACAGCACTCCCAATGGTGAGGTCAATCATGAACCTGTGGTTGGAGCCATTACTGCTGTGTCTCAGGAAGCTGCTCAGGTCTTGGAGTCAGCAGGAGAAGGGCCACTAGGTGAGACACTGCTTGTTATTTCATTTTGGATTGATGATGGGCTTCTAGCCTAGGGTATGGGGCGGGGGCAGTATATGGGCTATTTAGACAAAAATCTAGACATACTGTCCTCCGACATTCTTGACCTTGGGAAACCAGCAATGTGGGTTAGCACTGATGAAGCATTGCAGGTGTGTGCACATTGCCTTTCACTTAAAACAGACTTGGTACAGTTTGCCCATCCCAGGGGAGCTCAGGGCTGTCGGGGACTTGCTAGCATTTGTTTAGCATCTTCCTGGCCCACCTGGATTTAGATGCTAAGCTTATCCCAGGGCTCTACAGTTATTTGACAGCATTTTTTCTTAAGGTAAGAAATGGATGATGGAGAAGACACACACTGGATTCTGACTTTTAGGACAGGGCTTCCAGGCCTATTAAAAGTGATCCTTAGAGAATCTAATGACACCTCTCCAGAGAGTCACAAAGGGGCCCAGCAATTGGCCCCACAACAAATCTTCTACTAGGCAAAGAAAAACAGCACAGATAGATACTGTGTCATCAGCTTACATTAATTTTTTTAAATTTTTTTTTCTCGTGTGTGTGTGTGTGTGTGTGTGTGTGTGTGTGTGTGTGTGTGTTAAGGGGAGTATGAGGCAGTATAAGAACAGCACAAGCTAAAATATTTTAAAGTTAGTAGGCATGTTGTCTTTTGTAGAATTCTAGAAATACAGTTAACTGTTGAGCACTGATAGAAGATGCAGGTGAGTTAGAGAATGCAGGTGAGCTAGAGGGAAAATCCTGCAAGTATGTTCATCTTTGGCATTTGACATGATGTCATTTACAAGGCACACACTCAAAAACCATACAATCTACTTACAAAACAACAACAAAAACAAGTTTACCATTTTGTTGGTTCCCATCCATAGCTGTGATAGCCTGATAGTGTATAGAATTGAAGATAACAATGTCTGGCTCTGGGGTACAGTGTTTCCTCAGTCCAAGAGGCCTATTCCTGCCTAGGCAGAAGCAGCCCTGTGTATCTCCCTCAGGCTGGAGTGCAGGCTGCCTATGCCTGGGTTTCCTGTTCGTCACTAAGTTAGCCACAGGGTTAAGCAGTACTTTAAGCCCATTTCAGGTTTTCTGATGCACTAGGCCCTCAGTTTCACCACAAGTCTTCGAGTGCCTCACTTGCTGCTCCCACAGTAGCCATCACAGGCCCGCTGCTGCCAGCGGTATGCGGCTCCCCTCCGCACTCCTGGGTCCCACTAGTGTTCCATATCCTGCTGTCCACCATGGTTGGGAACTTCTGACGACAACTGGGAAAAACTTGCAGTTTTGTAACAGCAGAAGCATGGTTTCCTCTGGACTCCAGTTTGTCTCTAGGCAGAAAGCCACTGCTGTGGGAGCAGACGTTTTATTTGGTGTCATAATTGTCACCGTCTGTGAGATTGTTTGGGGAATATTCTGATTGCTTCTTCATGTTCAGAATGTAAACGATATAATTTAGTAGATGCTGGCTATTTGTGAGCACCTTTCCAAGTCCACTTTACAGCTTCCCCACTTGTTCCAGATGTGAGGCTACGGAAACTTGCTGGAGAAAAGGAGGAGCTCCTGTCACAGGTAAGATGTCTGCTCATCTAAAACCATTAGTTCATCTAAGATAGGCAGTAAAATGCTAATAAATGAAATGTTCGTTACAAATATCGGTGGGTGTAATAGTTGCCTGCCTTTTTTCTTTTCATCATTTTTTCTTATTTAACATACCAACTAGTTTCCCCTTCTTCTTCTTCTCCCACTCTCCACTACCTCCCTGCAACTACCCTGTCCCCTCTCCTCTGTCTCCACTTAGATGGGGTAAGGCCTCCCATGGGACTCAACAAAGCATGGCCCAATCAAGCTGAGGCAGGACCATCCTCTGTTCTAGATGGCTTTTCTTTTTGTTCCATATGCCTGCTTTTCTGTGTTTATCATAAGGTTGGCCCATTTTAAGCAGGAGTTTAAGCCCACTCAGGGTTTTCTGATAGATACACAGCAGGTTCCTCTTGGTTCCATTCAGTCTCAGACAGTCCATTCCAAACTAGTGGCTTATTCACCCTGTACTGGTGTGACTGTCCTTCTGCCTGTACCTTGGGTTGGGTTCCCTTTTCTCAGCCTTTCTTCCTGTCTCTTTCATTCACTCTTGCTTTGGTGTATATTCCAGTAGCTTCCTGAGGAAAGACCATGTACGCTGTTAATTTCCCACGACCTTGAAGGCCTGAAAGTGTCACTTTCCTTCAGGGTTTTAAAAAAATATTTCTTCATTGTCCTGTTTTTGAAGATATTTGTTCAGAATTGTGAAGACACAGGTCTGTGAGATGGCTCAGCAAGTAAAGTGTGTTGTGCAAGCCAGGCGACCTGAGTTCAATCCCTAAAACCCACATAAAGGTAGAACCTGAGAACTGATTCCTTAAAGTTGTCCTATGACATCCATAAGAGTGTGTTTTTGGCCGGGCAGTGGTTACGCTCGCCTTTAATCCCAGCACTCAGGAGGCAGAGGTGGGAGGATCTCTGTGAGCTTGGGGCCAGCCTGGTCTACAGAAAGAGTTCCAGGACAGCCAAGACTACACAGAGAACCCTGTCTTGGGGGGACAAAAAGGAAGAAAAAAACAACAACAAAAATGAAAACAAAAAAAACAAAGAGCATGTATTTGTGTATGTGCATGAACACTCAATAATAATTTTGAGATTTGATCTCTTATAGGTGATGTTTTTCCTTTCCTGTGGAAGCTTCTTATTCTCTTTCTCTCTAACATCTTGAGTGATGTGTTTAGAAGTTTTCAAGCATGAAAGCATGTTGATTCTAGAAATTCCTAGTCCTTAGTTTGGAAAAACTTAAGCGTTTTATTCACTTGTTCCTCACTCCTATTCAGTAAGTAAGCAAATGACAAATGATACTCTACTGTTTAATACATTATTCATGGCAAGAAGGATATTTGGATGAATAATCAGATTGTTGTGGGTTTATCTGAAAAAAAAAATCCATGTCTTAGACATTAGTAGAGAGAGGTCAGGCAACAGAATTAAGCTGTGTTATATGTGAAGTTTCCTTGAACACATTTATCATGTGTTTCTCTATTGACATTCAGATGTGTGGTACAGGCATGTAGTCAAGACAGACATAGCCAGGACAAGAAATGTGGTGGGCACGTAAGACCCTGGTGATCAGGTTGGACCTAGAAGTTAAGCTGAATGAGTAGTAGAGAGGACCTGGAAGTAGAGATCAGATGGAGTGGAAAGACTAGATTAATGACTGTGAGTGTGGCTCAAGGGTGTTAGGGTATAAAGAGAATGAACGGGGTGATCAATAGTTGTGGTTAAAGTATGTGGAACTAAATAATCTAGGGGGTATGGCTATCTAATGTTGAAGCCTGTTTTTATAGGTTATATGAAGGCTCGGGCAAAAAGAAGTTGGTGGCAGGACCCTTGAAGGGGAGGTGTCTCAGAAACTGGAGTGTATTATGGGAGCATGTCCCTCCTCGAGATGTGTATTGAAATGGCCAAGATAGGGGGTAGTTTTGGGAGTGCAAGTCGGGAGCGAACATGACAGAGGCCCAGTACACCAGTGAAGATGTGAGTTAGTTAGATGTGATCTCAGCAGCTAAGCTTAAGAAGGGGAACTTCTAGGGAGGCTGAGTAGAGGACAGTTCAGCAACAGCAAAGAAAGCCTGAGGGCACTGTTCCATTTCCAGGCTGAGGTAGGAGGCTGTGACGACGAAAGCAGTGCTAGGCTACAGGGCTCTGGGAGAGAACTGAGGTGAAAAGCGGTTTCTGAGATGAGGCGGTGGCAGGAGCCGCTGGTGGCAGCCTGATGCTTCCAGAGGCACTGGACAAGTTTGTGTGTGTATGTGTGTGGGGGGGGTCAGGTTAGGCATGGTCCAGGGATTTTGGGTACGAGTGCTGAAGAAGAATGTGCTAAGAATGATGGGATAATAACGGAATTCTCAAGGCAAACCCATGTGTGTGCAAAGGGCAGAGGTGCCTGGGAAGCAAGCATCCACTGAGTCCACAGTCAGTACTTGCCCTCCGACTGGACAGTGCAAAACTGGTGCTCAGCTTCCTTTTAGTCCCTGGTAGCAGAGTTAAAGACACTGGGAAGCCAGCCACTTGTGCTTCCAATTTCAAGGACTTAAAGTTCTCTAAGTATTCAATATATCTAAAAAATAGAGAAAAGGAGCCCTATATACCCATGAAAACTTTCATTTCAATAAGAGTAAGAAAAAATATTTTTTAAAATGTACTGTTATGTAAACACACACAAGTTTTATTGGGACACCTGGTTTCTGAGGATCATTTCTTTCTGGTTATGTCAGTTTATATCAAATGCCTAGAGTTGTTTTTCTCATAGGAAAAACAGTGTTTGAACGATCTGTATGACTTGCTAATAAGAAGGCTCTGTTTTGTGGTATGTTATGGCCCCTGGACCAGTTGCTGCCTTTAGTAGAGAACTGGGGTTGGGAGCTGTAGCACTCACTCACTGGCTGTGCAAATGTGTTCTGAATTCGAATTGCCAGTAGCAGGCACTGCATTGTGCATCTGGAATCTCAGCATTGGAGAGGTAGACACCTGAGGGTCACTGGAGCTGGCTGGCTGGCCAGCCAGCCAGACCAAGTTGATTAGCTTCAGGCTTGGTGAGGTCCTTGTCTCAGAAATAACGTGCAGAACAATTCAAGAAGACATGTGCTGTAGACCTCTGGCCTCCATCTATGCATGGACACATACAAACTCAAGACACTTATCTTCCACCCGTGCCTGGTGACACACAGGTCTGCAGGTACAGCCACTTGGGAGGCTGAGGAAGGAGAATCACAAGTTCAAGGTCTGCCTGGGCTGCAGAGTGAGTTCAAGGCCAGCTTGGGCAACTCAGTGAGAACTTATTTCAAAGTAAAAAGGAGGGATATGGCTACAGCTCTGTCAGCGTGTCCGATCCCTGGGCTTCACCCCAGAACCACCAAAAAAAGGTAGAGAGACTGAGCCCAACACTGATCTCGCTGGTGACTTCTCCTTTCCTTTCAGATTATAAAACTGAAGCTGCAGTTAGAGGAAGAACGGCAGAAGTGTTCCAGAGGCGATGGCACATCTGGAGACCTGGCAGGACTGCAGAATGGCTCAGATTTACAGTTCATTGAGATGCAGAGTAGGTACCAGGGACAGGCCGGTCTGCACCCATGTGGAGTAGCGTGTATCTCTGGAATAGAGTTGGATGTGGGCTGCTGGAGACCTACTGAGTTCCAGGAATGGCATGGACCAGTCACTGAGTGCATATGATATCTGAGCTCTTGTGTGGGTCCCTCTTCCATTTATGCTTTTTCTTTGGAATTCATCTTGGAAAATTGAGGATTTTAAGACCAGCTCATTAATGTTGGGTTTCTGAAATTTCCTAGTTTTTTAGCAAAATTTCATCTCTACATGAAATTAAAGGCAAGGCTACAAAATATAGTCTGTTTACACAAATTATGTTTCTTTTCCTACTTTTGACCCCACATTGTTGGTTTTATTTGAGTCCTGGTAAGCCTGAAATCACTATGCAGACTGGGCTGGCCTAGAGCCCACAGAGATCCACCTGCCTCTACCTCCCAAATACTGGGATTAAAGGTGTGTGCTACCATACTGGGCCCCATATTGTTTTTAAGTGCCTATCTACTGTATTCACCCTAAATACCAGATTATAGTTGTCTCAGCATCCATTCTTATAGTTACCTTGTTGGTAATGATGTGTAACTCGCAATAAAGGGCTTTTATTTTTGTGAAGGGGCTTTACTGATAATGTACTCTAAAATCTTGGCTATTTGTGAACTTTTCATATTAATAATTGGACTCAGGCTGAATGGAGGAATTTGGAGGTTGAAGTTTATTAGTAGTAACTTATGTGGTTTTGGACCTCAGGTTCTTCATATTCCTTGATAAGTAGTTCTAGAACATCACTTTGGTGTAGTGGGACAGGAGGTGACAGAATATGGGAAGGCTAGTTAGAATGCAGTATAGTGAGCCTGACCAGTATAATGGATGCCAGCAGTCCCAGAGGGCACAAGTAGATTTTGAAAGACCGCAAAAGCAGCAGATTCGAAAGGAACTAACTTGAAAAGAAACAGGCTAGCTTTTGTGTGACTGCTTCCTAGAGTCAACTAGGTAATATAGGTGGGCTTTGCAAGTGGGGTTAAATGACCTGAGTAGCCAAGTTTTGGAAGCCAGGACTGACTGCTGAGGACAAAATGTTGGTTCTGAACAGCAACTTGACCTGTAGTGAGTATGGTTTCAAAACATACATTAACAGAGTAAATAGACTTGTGCATAGGAAGGAATCAGTGTTTGAAAGTGATAAAGTAGCTGTACATTTGGAGATATGAATGTGGAAACAGAGCTACTGTTGTAGAGCTCATGAATAGAATGTTCTCTCTACCACCAGAGGTGACCTTGGGAGATAAGCTTCTTTGTCCATTTTTTAAAAGTCTCATTGTGCAGTCCAGGCTGGCCTCAAACTCAGTATCCTCTTGTCTTAGCTGCCCAATTTGGAATGTGGGGTTACAGGCAGGCACTACCCCATGGTTCCTGCTACTTTAAGGTGATAGTAACTGTCCAGTCAGCAAAACTGCTTGCACTAAACACTGCATAGGTAGGCCTACTATTGCTCATGTGAAAAGCAGATGAAAGTTCTTGGGCAGTTTGAGTTATTTCCTTTGGTGGGTTAGATATACAGTCTATAGACTTTGCAAAGAGTGAAGTTTTTAACTTTAGGATCTGGGTGGGAATTTTACCCCCACCTCCATTTCTAAATTTAACAGCTCTTTATTTCTTAGGTATGATGTACATCTTATGATCTGTAGCTATACCCATAACATTACCATATTATTGAAAAGCCTTCATCTCAGTTTTATTGAAGCGTACCCTGCAGATCATTTGGCTGGGTCCATAAGAAGATTTAAGAAGACTAAGACATGATCCTCCTCTTTATATACACAAACAGTATTACGAGCATAATTGTCATAAAGAGAATGCAAACAAAATGAGCAAGGGAAGAAGTTACAGTTCACTAGAGTCATGGAGCTGAGTGCATCTTATTGAGGCTGGTGAGCTGAATCAGAGTGTGAGAGCAGAAACACTGCCTGGGAGCTGGAAGGTTACAGGGCTGGGTTCAGAGAAGCAGGGGGCCCAGAGGCTGCAGGGGCCATTGCCACCCTGTGAGCTTCCTTTCTCAAGGCTGTGTTCACATGCATCTAGAGCAGTGGTTAACCTTCCTAATGCTGTGGTGACCCCCAACCATAAAATTATTACATGTTATTACTTCATAACTGTAATTTTGCTACTGCTATGAATTGTAATAAATATCTGATATGTAACCTCCAAAGAGGTTTCGACCCACAGGTTGGGAACCACTGACCTAAAGGGAAAGGACTTTGTTTCTGACTTAGTCCTAGGGACACTGTTGAGAAGAGGTGTAGGAGCCTCTTGCACTACAGTCCAGATTGCATGTCTTCTGTCTGCTACCTCCCAGCTCCATCTCTGGAGAAGAAAATAATTCATGATTATCTTCTGTTTTAGGAGATGCCAATAGACAAATTAGTGAATACAAATTCAAACTTTCCAAAGCAGAACAAGACATAACCACCTTGGAACAAAGTGTGAGTACTCTGTGAGGCGCCAAATGATTTAGATGCCATTAAACGCTATCAATGCCTCAGCCTCTTGCTAGTGGCTAGACCTTGGGTGCCTGTGGGTGGCCTTGGCAGCTGGGTGTCTTCCAAAGCTCTGTATTATGGTAGAAAAGCCACCAGATAACACATAGTAGGTTAATTCAACTTTGTGTCTACTCTAAAGACAGGACTAGGCCAGCAAGATGATACCAGCAGATTGACACTTGCTACCATGCCTAAAGATCTGAGTTTGATCCCCAGGACCCACATGGCAGTAGATAAATGGTTCCCACATGCTGTGTTCTTATCTTGTCCACGTTTGCTGTGCTGAAACACTATGACCAAAAGCAACTAGGGAAGGAAGGGTTCATTTAGCTCAGTTAACACGGGAAATTGGCCCTATAGTGAATGACTCTGTAGTTGTGACCCTAGGGGCTTGTGTGCTCATATTTACAGATCAGCCGGCTTGAGGGGCAGGTGCTTCGGTACAGAACTGCTGCTGAGAACGCTGAGAAAATAGAAGATGAGCTGAAAGCAGAAAAGAGGAAGCTTCAGCGAGAGGTACTGTGCTAATTAGTGTTCTCCTGGAGAGCACTCCTAATAGATCCTCTGGAGAAATCCGACTCTAGTCAAGTGTGGTGTGTACCTTTAATCCCAGCACTCGGGCACAGGGGCAGGCTGACCTCTATTGGTTTGAGGGCAGCTTGGTCTACATAGTGAGGGCCAGGCCAGCCAGGGTACATAACATAGTGAGACCATGTCTCAAGTAACTAGAATCAAAGACCTGGTAACAAGCTGTGGACCCACAGTGGCTGCCATTGACTTTTTGGTAAAGCAGCAAGTAAAAATGTATTTCTAGGTTTTGCTTCAGATGACATCAGTTTTTTTTTTTTTTTTTTTTTTTTTTTTTTTTTGCTTTGGTTTTTTTGTTTTTACAGCTTTTACACTTGTTTCATGGTTTAAACAATCCTCAGCAGCACTGTTTAGGCCTCTAGCTGCCTAGAGAGAGGTGGCAGCTATTTGGGGACCCCATACATGGCTGTCATATTAGCAGAGCTCTCATCTCCAGAAGGCAGAAAGGAAAGGGTGCTGGACTTTCTTTCCTCTGACCACATAAGTGACTGCGCTTTTTGTCTGCAGCTACGGACAGCACTGGACAAGATCGAAGAGATGGAGATGACCAACAGCCACCTGGCAAAGCGGCTAGAGAAGATGAAGGCCAACAGGACAGCCCTTCTAGCCCAGCAGTAGGGAGGCCGCCCTTCCACCTGGGCGCTGCTCTAAGGGCCTTGCCCAGAGATACTGACTCTTTTGTATATTGACACAAAGCCCTTCGAGTACTGTTTGAGTCTTGTCATTAAACAGCCACCTTTGTATTTTATAATTTATGAGAATGAAGCAGGTTTAATTGTCATGAATTTGGGTTTTGTTTGTAGCTCACTTCTACAGTGAGAACTAGTCTGTGCTGTTTTTTTTTTAGTTTTCAGTGTTCTAGAATCACGTTTTCTTATCATCTTCCTCCAGCTGCCTCACTGACTAGGCACTTGGGAGGCCTTGGTGTGGGTTCTGGAGGATGGCCATTCTGAGTGCTGAGACACTTGCTGGAGATTTCAAAAACACAAGTGCCTTCTCCACGGTGTGATACAGGCTTCAGAGACCGAGTGGCCAAGATTCCTACTCTTCTTACCAGAGCAATTACATTTCAGTGAGGAAGTATTCATGGGCTAGGGAAGTCTGTGTTTCACTCAAATTTATGTCTACAGGAAAAAGCTTTTTTAAAAAAATATTTAAATTTATATAAAAATTTAGGAAAAATATATGGGGAGTGTATATTAAACTTTATTGCATGGGGCAGAGGAAGTCTAGGCTTATGCTCTTAAAAGAGTAGGGTCCTTAGTCTCCGTATCCACTGTGCCGTTCCCTGTATTTTCATCTGCTGCTTATTTGTGAACTGAAACCCTAGATAAGCTTGAGGGGTGAGGGAGGGACAGTGCAGGCAGGTAGGGAATCTGCCTGAAGAACTATTAAGCCCACCTTTCCGCCAGCCAGGATTGGCAGACACAGTCATTGTTATAGAAGCTTTTTTTTTTTTTTTTTTTTTAAATGTTTTTTTGAGAGACAGGGTCTATGTAGCCCAGGTTGCCTCCACCTCATGGTCATCATCATTGGGCCTCCTGAGTTCTGGGATTCCAGGCATGTACCATCATACCTGATTCTAGAATAAAAATGCTTAAGAACTTTCATCTTTAAAGAGCCCAGAACATGATCTCCCAGCTCCCTCTACTGTAGCCACTTCATAGGGTTTGTGATTCTCTTTTGTCACAATCAAGGTGGTTTCATGGGAATGATTACTGCAGCTCAAAATGTTTACAAAGAAAATACATCGAGGAAGTCTAATGAATCAAAACCTCGTAATCTAGACTTGCAACTAGATAATAAAGTTAACTAAAAAGTGACTGATAGTTGTTCCCTTCTTTAGTCACTAGCCCTTCATTTTTAGGATATGGAAACAGTCCTGAGTTGAGAGCATCCTGTGCATTTCTTAGTAGGAAGTACAGTTGTATGGGTAGGGCGGGAATGCAGACTTAGCTTATCTCAGGTGATCAGCTTTTCACTTGGAGAAATTACCTCTTCCTTTCCACTCAGCCTGTACCTATCCTGGGCTCATGAACCTCTCCTGAGAAGCCCTGGCCCTGGCCCTTGTTTCCCAGTTGAAATGACCCTGTTTCTTCATTAAGACATGTCTTTCCTGGGACCTTCTTCATTACTTCCTGTCGTCTGTGCTTTACTTTAAAACCTCAGGCATCCGTCCTTGGGCTTAGTGCTCTATTTCTGCTGTGGCAGGGCTTGCCGTTAAGGTGGCTTATCTGGACACTGAAGAGTTTATATTCTTATTACTGGTTTTAGAGAAAGCCTTGGCTAATTTCCAGTGTACTAGATTTGACCACCCACCCCAGCAAACCTCCACAGTTGAGAAGTAAAGGCAAAGAAAGATTCATTTCATGTGGCCATGTTGGGAAGAACAGATAAAAGGGTTCAGGAACCCCAGATTAATTTAAAAGGTGTTAATGGTTTGAAAAAGGGAACAAAGGAGACAGTTGGTATTACGTTGCACTGCTGAAGCAAGTCTTGTTGGCAGGGTCAGTGGTCTGACTGGTAATTTAAGTTCGGGTCCTATGAAAGGCTCTGCAGAAGTGGTTGCTGACATCTCTTCATGGTTTCCAAACCATAATCATTTCCCACTCCAGGGCGTAGCCTCGTCACCACTGCAGTTTCTCATTGCAATAGAGTCTGTCCTGTCTGTCCTGTGAGCGCTACTTGGAGTCGCCAGTCTTCTTATCCCTCAATTCCAAAATAACTCCAAAATAGATCCAGGAGGGAAAAAGATAAAAGCAAAGAAGAGCAAAATAGTTGCTGAGGGATGTGTCTCTTTTTTGCTTCCCCAGAATCCTCCAAACACCTAGAAACATGTTCGGAACCACTAAGTGAACTAACTAGCTTAACTCCAATGAGTTAAAAGTCTGGGCAATGATGCTTTGAAATTAGCCTTGACTGTGACAGTAAGAGTCTCAGCTCAAGCTTTCTCCAGGCAATACCAACACTCTTACATATTACATTAGTAACTATCTTTCCTTACTGTTGACCAAAAATTACCTGACAAATGGGTGGACTTAGTTTGGCTCACAGTTTAAAGTCCAGCTTTACAGGGAAGGTGTGACAGAATTCACGGGGAGGGTATAGCAGATGGCTCTCACACAGGTACCCTTTTCCTTGGCACTCTGCCCACTTTTCAAGAGAATTTGCACGTCCGCATGCTGGAGCTGCAGTGAGTGCGCTCTCAGGGCACCCTTGTTATGGCCCAGGACAAAGTGTAAGGCCTCTCTCTAGCTGTGTTCATCTCCTTAACAGTAACAGACACTTTGTCTGCAACTTTAAACATGTTCATCTTCCGAGTTCATGTTTTTCTCACTAGAGCTTGTAGTTTTCATCTTTCTGTTTTGAACTGTCATTATCAACCTCAATAAACTCAGTGGTAACCATGCCACCACCCAAAGGTTAAACTGTCTTAAAATTGCCTCTGCCAAACAACTTAGTCCATTGCTATGAACTCACCCTTCCTCAAATACATGAGAAAAGACAAAGCCAGGTCTTTGCCAGAATGTAACATGAATGGCCTAGAGCCCACTACAGTCCTTGTGCCCATCTCAAACCACACAGCTATGCCCCCACTGGCTGTAGTTCTAAAGGTGTACCAGTCACCCACTGAGTTGTTGACAGTACTCCAGAGCTTCCCAGCCTCTAACACACTTTCCCACAACCCCCTTGTACACCTGTTCCTGAGCTTATACACCTCATGGCATCTTTATCAAAGCAGCTACCCTTGGTTGTCCATACCAGTAACTTTGACAGGTTCTTACAGGAACAAAATCCATGGGATACATAAAAGGGATTATGAAGAAAGGACTGGGCAGTTCAGGGATGGCTGGCTGCAAGCTGGAGAGGTAGAAAACTTGGTAGCTGCTTGCTTCACAAGGCTAGATGCCTTAGTAAGCCCAATCTGGCATCACATCCTACAAGATCCCTTGGAAGGCTGAAGAGGTTGAGTCTGAGGGCAGCATCAGGGATGGATACACTTTTCCTGAGGTCTTCTCATACTGGAAGCTTCTACTGTTGCCCACGTTGAGGGTCAATTCTTCCCCAACCAGTTATCTGCTCTGGAAACACTGTCACACGCACAAGTGTCTTCCCTAGGTATTCTAAATCCAACCAAGTTGACAAAACCACCTTATACATGCCTAGGACTTTGGGTCTCCGGAGTCTCCATTTGCTAGGAACTTACTATGTAGACTAGGCTGGCCTCAAGCTTTCAGAACCTCCTGCCTCTGCCTCCAAGTGCTGGGATCAAGACATGTACCACCCATATCCTCAGGACTTTTTTTTTTTTTTTTTTTTTAAGCAAAGCTGGAGTTTATTAAGCAAGTTTTAAATGGATTTAAGCCTGGGCACTGAGGGAAGAGAGGTGTAGAAAACACATCAAAGACAAGGATTTCTCAAAAGTTGCTGTGCCAGGGATGCTTTTAAAAGGAATTTGAATGGACATAGCTTATGGTATCCAATAACAGTTTTCCAGAATAAAAACATCATAGCATGATCTGGGAAAACTTCAAGAGGTTTTTTAAACAGTATGTATTGAAATGCCTCCAGGTGCTCAGGGGGAGTCTTCAACACAACCCAGTATGTACTAGGTGGAAGTCATCTTAAGATAAGTTTCCAGTGTGAAGTTATATCTGTGTGTGTATATATACAAAACACATCAAGACACAGTTTCTTTGCAGCCAATCCACAGGTGGGGGCAAATGTGAATTTTCCACATTAAGCTGCAGCAGCAACACTGGGATACAAAGCAATGACAGTGAACATTGGAAACCCTGGAGCACGGCAAATGTCCTGTGGCTTCCTTGTCCATAAAACAGGCTTCGTCGTGGACGGTGAGTGCACTAAGATGGCTATGACTGTATTAACACCTCTCAAAGACTTTGTAGAGATCCGGCAGGTTGGCAAGCTGCAGGACATTTCCATCCTCTGTGAAATGCTTCGGAGGCAGAAGGTGTGAGCGGAAGGCTTTATAGATAATGTGCTCTACAGTCCACTTCCACGGCTTTGGAGTGGAGCCAGGCATGTCACTCTGGAAAATACATGAAATGCATTTATCTCCCCACACACTGGTTTTCCCACTGACACGACAAGTACTGGGCCTGGAAGGGCTTTAGTGGTGTGTCATGGACCTTCTGCAGGACAGGCCTGAGGGTCCCACAGGTCTTGAGCAGAAGAAGCGAGGTTTATGAAGAAGAAACTAGTATTTTGAGGGACCACTGCCTACAATTTTGTTTCCACTACAGTGGATCTGACATTTCTGAGCCTGACTCCTGGGATTATAACTTGACACAAACCTGAGGTACCTTAAAGTAGCGCTGTTCTGACACTCCACGGAGGGTAAATCTGCCTCACTGTTCCTTTCCATGTAAGCTTTGGCTGCCTCACACATGTGTTCTTTCTAATCTGTTGTCTGTTTCCTATGTGTGTCAACCTTCCCACCAGGTGAGTGTCCCTGGTGTGTCAGCCAGGGGCCAGGGCTAATTTCTGTTCCACTGCTGTAAAGCACCAGAACCTTGAACATGCCAGGTGTCCTGATCAGTGGACATGTTCAACATCACTAAGTGGCTATGCACTACAGCGGCTAGTTTGATTCTTAGCCACTCCACTCTCTCTGCCTTCCTGGGAAATGTGAGTGTGCATTAATTATCATCTGACCGAAAAGGTGACAAAGAAGCGGGCTCTTTTCATCAGGTGGCCTATGAGGGTTTACAGAGATTATAGAGACATCTTC